GACTTTTGAAAATAAATTAGGGAACAAATGAAATTTTTTGGAAAGTGTCTACTCGCAACAGAGACAGTGAATTATTTCACATTTGTTGCAGCTACCACGCTCTATTAAATGTATGCCATGTTAATAAAATGCTGTATCAATAGGCTATAAACTGTATTAAGTAATACCTCACATACATAATTATTTAACACACTGTAAAAAAACACAGTGTGACACGAAAATAACCTAAAAAGCTCACATACGAGGTCATCTCGTAAAACCATCTCTCTAATTATTATCCTTTTGTAAAAAATGACACGCGAAAGGTTTTATCGAATTAAAATTTTCTAGCGCAGAAAAGCTAATTTGCACCGACGAATCATTATCAAGCAAGATAAGCACGTGTAATGGAAAGTGTGGTGCTTTAGCTATTTTTAATAAATCTTAACCTTCAAAACGTTTGACTGAAGGCCGAATAAAGGACTAGTTGATAGGCATAATTACCTTTGGTCTGCGTCAAGCAAACAATCCGAAAACGTGGACAAAAAAAATTCCTATAATATACACAGTGACGCATAAATACCTCACAATTAAATCATAGTTGCAACATTATTTTTATGGCAAAATTTTCGAAGAAAATATTTAATAAAAATGACAATGTGATAATCTTTACGGAAAGAAAACCACTAAACAACTTTTATCATTACCACGTTCCATTTCCAAGGTAAAATATTTCACAAACTTGATTGTCGGTTGTAACAGCTCAAGGCAGTTTTTCCTCCTCATTGAAATCATTCAAAGAGAAAAGTTGACTTTCGAGAAAAACAATTTTCGATTGGGTACGAAAAAAATCGTCTCGAACCAACAACAACGCCCTTGAATTAACTTAAAACAAACACATTTAAAAGTATCGAAGGTCCAACGTGTTTTATTTTTGCCCACGAGTAATTACCGAAACTTTTAAACGATTCAGTTCGTAGAGATGACAACGTTACATAATTTTCGTTTCCGTGAAATCATCTTGAAATTATACATGTATGCGATCTCGACCTTGCCCATATAAAATAGACAAACACATATGATCTAATCCTAATAACAATAATTGCTAGTGTGAACAATTCCAGGCTGCGACCACTGCATACATCATAATTAATAATTAAAAAGTCTAATGATTTTTTAAAATTACATTACACAGTAAGTTTTCTTAATTGAATTTTTGCTAAATAAATATTAATAATAATAGACGGTGTTCTACTTAAAATATGTAAGATAAGTCTCTGGATGTAATAATAATTAAAATTTTCGTAACAGGCAGGTGTCAATTTCCTCCTAGATTGAGTTTTAGTCCGAATTTTTAGCTTAAATGCGAGCTTTGAGATAAAAATCATCACTTTTTTAATTTTTGACAAGACCAGGAAATGATGTTTCAAAAATGTGCCGTCTCGTCGGCCCCGAGTCTAGCATTTTCACGGACGGCTGATCTTTACCTTCACAAAACCCGAAAAAATCTGCTCTTGAAGAAAGTCATTCTATAGCGCGATCTCCACCAAAAAAAGTGTTCCCCTTTGCGAAAATGCGGAATTGAATCACTGCAAAGATCCAGATATCGCATTTTCTAAGCGCGAGCGCGTGTCTGATGTAGAGTATGAAAGTAGAACGACGAAGTCCCCCAACATCTCCGCTCTAGATCCGGAGCGGGCCAGGTCAGGGGTCGCCATACTGTTCCCCTTCTCTGAACCGACGTGGTGCATTCGTTGGCGTTCTCGATAGAAAACCTGGTTATGGAGACGGCGACGACGAGGACACTCTGGATTTGGAACTGGAGCAGATCGCCGAATTCGCGCGATTCGCAAACTCATTATTCGACACGAAGAGGGGCGGAGCACCGATGGTTTACTCGTTGTTACGATAATTCGGGTCAACTTTTTAAATATTATTACTCGGATGTGTGGGAGGATTCGAGGTGATGACTGATGAATGTGCGCTTACGGAATTGGATACTAATTCGGGGGAACGGCGAATTAAATGCTAGGACATGACAATGACGACATGCGATCGTTTTTTATTACGGAAGAAAAACCAGAACGACCAAATTATTCATTATGTAAATTAAGAACAAACTTATCTCTTTTGTCTCGATTATGTGAAACGAAAATATGATTTTTCTGTGTTTGGATAACGAAACAATAGATTTAGAAAAGTGCGTTTTTCGACGACGGAAGTGAAATCTACTTTCTTTCGATCGTTACGTGGAAAGTGTCAAATTTGCAATTTTCTAGCCGATTTTAATTTTTACAATCCAAGTATTATTGCATTTTATAAATAAACCAATTTATCAAATCAAACAAAAGTTTATAAATAAAGATATCTGAACTTATCAAGCAAAACAAATTTATTTTAAATGTGACGTAACATACCATTTTCTTAAAATTAATTATTGTTCCAATGTCAGCATCAAAATTGCAATATTTTTAATTTCGATTATCTGCCAATGTCTGACTTACGAGTCAAACTTGTGCAAGGGTTAAAGTAACTTTCTCATAATAAATTACAATGTCCAGGGCACCGTTAGTATGACCTTTCAAGTTTAGAAAAAAAATCAAGGAAATTCTTCAGACAATCGTTTTTCATCATTAAATAATCATTTAGACTAAAATCCATTTAATTCAAGTCATTTATGCAAAAAAACAGCCTCAAGAGATCTCATTAAAGTATCGTTTTAAATGTGAAAAAATTCATAAACTAAAGCTGTTCTGCAGTTTGCAATTCAATCACGTCTGAATTTAAAATACTTTTTTTATTAAACAGATACTTTAAACGCAAGAATTATGAGATAATTAATTTATCAAAATATTATGTTAATTTAAGCGGATGTTATTCGAGTTTTATGATCAGTGGTAACAAACCGAATTAGAAATAAAGTGTTTACCTCCAAAAACGGCCCAAGAAAACCACCGGAGCTTCTTTGAGTCTTGTTTTTATGTAATTTCCGCATTGATGTGACATTGTCAACGCCACTTATCACTCTACTGTGCTTCTGTGTTTGCTTCGACCAGGTGATAAAAGGATTATCAATGTGACATTGGACTAGTGCGAAAAAATTATTTTCATTTGTTCGGTATTTTTTCGACGTGCAATTTATATCTCCTAAAATTGCTCGCAAGGCCAGCACGTGAAATAACACACTGTAAATGATTAAATAAAACGGCCTTGCATATAAACGCGTAATTGCGAAATTTTTTGATATCACTGGAGGTTGCCTTATCTATTATCAATAAACGCCAACTGTAGCAAGTGCAAAAATCAATTTTTTACCTGACGTAAGACAAACTTCTTTCGGAATTGGATAAATTATTCACGAATGCAATGAAATCACCAACTATATCGGTACGTACAGCATCGTGCCCGGTTTTATTTTCGTATTTTCGGTTTACTGCCAAGGTTACAACGTACTGACAATTATAACCCACCACTGATAGAAAAAATCAGTTTTTGCAAAACGACAAATCGCAATAATTTTCAAGATTATCATCACCCTTTATTTGAAATTTAATGTTTGCGTTCGTGTTACAAATTATTGCTTGTTTGACATTGAAGTCTTGACTGTGCCCACTTTATTTGGCTCGATAGATACCCACATAAACTCAAAGGTAATCAAATAGTACCGTAATTACCGATCGAAATTATGCTCAGGAAATTGATGTCAAAGGTCAAAAACGCCGCAGACGTGTTGACACTTTTTAAATCACCCTCGTATTATTCGTTATTGCACATAAATGGAAAGTGAACGCTCCATTCATGTGGAAGGGACGATTAAATTTAATTTAGTGAGAGTACATTAAAAAATTATACAACATAATCGATAATGAGTCGCTCAATTATTGATAGGCAAAAGCCCACGACAGAGGGCTGATAATTCACAGAAGTTAAGCAATCAGCTTCAATGTCGCCCAAGAAATGGAGAATATAAAACAGGAAATTGTTGGGATTAATAGTTTTTTATTATCGACCGATATATCAAAATTATTAATGATGTTCTGGCATATCATAATGTTAGAATTACAGATCAACGAGCAATTGGAACATCTATTACAGTTTGCTAAAAGTGGGTGATGTGCATGGCATCAAAAATGTACTCTTATTAAACTGAGTACAGAAAGAAACTAAGAGAATGTATGCAATGATCTAATTCTTGATTTAAAAATCATTATTATGAAAATGTGGTTACGAGGTTTGACATCAAAATTTTCATTTTTTGATCAAAAAATCAGGCCACACAGAAGTTTTATTCCATTTTTTTTATAGTGACTGTACTTCCTGCACCTCTATATTATTTCATTATGTATTTAAAATACAAATAAGTGATAAGACTTGATAATTATTTGTCCATTGTTTTAAATATTCTACTCGTAAATACTGCTCCAAAACACTTTTTGGTGTTTCCTCTTTCTGAGGCACCTAATGACATTTTTTTTGCCTTTACGAATTGTGATAAAATTAAAACCACTTTCTCGTGTCGTTAATTAATTCAAATAAAGTCCCTCTGAATAACTCAAATGCTCAGACCGTAATGCAGAAACAAGAACGTTACGATGCATGGAGCTATTCCCGGCCGATGACCGAGGCCTTGGAGGCCTCCTGGGTCCGATGGCCCCACAAAGAAGAACAAAAGTATGCAGCTGTAACGGCCGAAAAAACGCCTCGACTCGATTCGAATAAAAGCAAAGAGGAGGAAAAAATACGTATGTTACCCTTGGGCCGACAGCTGAGAGATGAACCCTCTCCCCACACCACAGGGCCACAGGGCCGGACGTCGTGCATTTTCGACCGAAACTTTCCCAAAGCGTGGCATTTGAATGTAGGGTTTCATGGCGATATTAGTCGGCATTTTGGGGTCATTGAAAATCTCTAGATTGAAGCAACCAGCCGTGCTCTACATAGCCTGGCACACATAAACATGGGTGGGTTATTCGATTGTTTTCGACCACACAAAAACCGGCCCCAAAAAAGAGCATCCTTACCTAGCTAAGGCCATTTTGACATGGGTTAATCCACGTGTCACTGTGAATTTTTCACTGAATTTTTTCACCGCACTTCAAGCACACGTTTTCACTTTCTCGCTGTCAAAACTTAACCCCACTTTAGGAAAATAAACAAAGCTCCGAGCGAGATGTGAACGAAACCATCTCCATCAAAGCACGATGGAGAACTACATCAAATTAGAGATCCGTGCTTTATCGGCCCCCACTCGCAGAGGAAAAAGCACCGTTCGGACGGCGTCGACTTGGTTCGGTGGCGACGTCAAAGACACACAAATTCCAAAATGCTCCGGTGAAGAGATAAAGCTCTCTCCCGGATCAATACGGAGTCCTTCCGACGTTGCACCACCTAAAGCTCTGCCGCACTGAATTCAAAAAAGCAACTATAAGTCGGAAATTTCGCGCATGTGTTCAATTTCAAGGGGAAAAACAAAGAGATTTGGAAAATTAGATGTTACGTAAAACCTCTACGGTTACGGTGACGTATGAAAAATTCAGATTTTGTAACGAAAGATGAGCTTCCCACTGAAATTGCGAAATGATCGTTTCCTTGAATTTTCCTTTATAAAACTTATTAATTCCCTCTCAGAATTGCACTCTAATTGCCTACCAATTATCCGAGGAAAAACGAATTTTATAGCTTTATTGCGACTAGATAGGACCTCACTTGAGACGCAAGGTCAAAAAATATTTAAATACGTGGAATGTTAGAAAATTTCGGTGAAATCCTGATTTATAAAATTAAAAAAAAAAAACTTTCGTCGCAGACCGGAAATCACACTAACAGCTCCCAATCACGTAAAGTCGGATGCTAAATTATTTTCTTCCTTTATAAATTTGGCGAAAACGAGATAATTCGATTTTCCGTCAAATAAAAATCCAAGTTAGACGACCAACAATTCAGTTCTTGTACTTTCACTCGACCATAAAAAAAATAAAATCGTCCACATCTGCATTCAATGTTGACACATTTAATTTCTTCTTGGTAGATCAACGAGATAATCTCATGTAAAAAAAAATTGCTTGTCACAGTAAACGTCGAGTTATACATTTATGGCCTAATTTCTCGCATTGAGTCATGAGAATTTTAGATTGTTGGCCATTCTAGTCAATTAAGTGCTCTCTACAAATAAATGAATGCAAATTATTACTTATTGAAGAAGGGAAAAATGACTTTCTTTTTATTGAAGGTCTAAGTGCTGAAAACTTTTAAACTGTGGACTTAATTCAGTTTAATTAAAACCTACGAGATAGCTAATTGTTACAATTTGAAACGCCCTAGATTATTGCTTAAATAAGGACAAGTTTAATGTTGCGTATTTGTTTTGACAATCGTTTTGTAAATAAAAGATTTTGCCTATATCTGATTCTACGAGAATAAAAAACAATTTGTTTTAAAAAAAACTTGAAAATAAACACGAGTTGACCCATAAAGTCAAATTTAAGGTTACCTAAATAATAAACAGTTTCGTACTTTGTACTACCTAATCTAAATTTAGCAGATTGGGAAAAACAATTTTCGCATACTCTGATAATCAATGTAATTATTTATTTTTCGCCGATTTAATAAACATCAAATTACGGAAGTGGCGCCCTCTGTGCACGCAATACGTAAATACGTGTCGTTGGAACCCCCTCAAAGCTGCGTTATGTCCTCTGTTCGAAAAGGTTACAACCGAAACAGACAATAATTAGTTTAGTGAGAGTTATACAAGCAGAGGACACGAAATATTGACCTCGCACGGAGAGGTCGTCGAGGAAACGTTGTGCCGCAGACCGCGAAGAAGAACAACACACTTTTTGGGTCAGATCGAATTAAAATAAGGGTCACTTCGGTGGTAAATCGTCCACCTTGTATTTTTTAAAGCGTGCCAAAAAAACATCGCATTATAAAAATACATATCGCGGTTGAAATTCCAACGTGAAAGTTATCTCCGCATGCATTCGTTTCTGTTTTAAACACTTTGTTGGCCACTGGTCTAAATTTAATCCCACTCGATCCAGAGTCTTGTGAAATCCACTTTCACTAGCGTGGCCAAGTTTCATAATTAAACGGGGACGATTCTTACGAGAGATTTAGACGATTTTTAGCCCTTTACGAAAACTCAATTTTTGTGTACGCATGGTTTATTTTGTAGATTTTTCTTATCTCGCAAATGTGTATCTTTTATTAAAGTGATTTAAAAATCATAAACCTCTTTTATACGCAACAAGAGGGAAGAAACAGGTCAGATATTTTTAAAATATCTGGCCCTTCTCTCTGACATTTTTCCGTCTGTGGTAAAGTCTATTCACTGAGTTAACGACTTTTTCACCCCAACAAGCTGTCAAACGCAAAAAAACATATTTATCAACAACTTAATATGATGGAAAAGAATTCTTAATCCAGTCATCAGAAAATATTGTTAGGATTTTTGAGTGACATCAGACGTTGTGAGTCAATCAAAAAGTCTATTTTTATTTTTCATGGCCAACTGAGATCATGCGATTTGTAAAAAGCTTAGTGGATTTATAGCCCAATTAAAAATTTGTCAAAAATTCGGAATTCATCCCGCATGCAAGTCGTCTTCGTCGGATAAGCATCTGAAATGACGTAATAAATCCAGATCTTTTGTTTAGAAGAACCAAAAATAAATCCCGTGAATGAGTTTTTTAGCAATTCAAATTTTTACCCATCACATCCTATTTTGGGGTCACGAAAACAGCCAAATTCATCAAAAACCCGTTAATTTTATTATTGACAATGATGCAACCGAATAATTTGGAAATAAATTCGACTCGAAATCTGTCACTTTCTTATTTTAGATGGACAAAAAGTCGGATTTGAGACACTGCCGACTTAAAATATTCCGGACGAGCGTCGGCGCTTCCGCTTCGAATTATTTTATAAATCCGACACCGAAAATTCGTTGACATTGATGGTGTCTAAAATTTATTACATTGAAATTATGACACTGATAATCACGGATAAATGAAGGATTTTTTCGTGTCAAGCATTTCATAAACATCAACATTTCAATAATGTAAAACAAGTGTGGTTTTATTAGATTGAAAATATGTCACACTTTGATAACACCGATTCCTAATTGTAATCGGGGTGAGATAAAACACGGCGTCTGAATCAAGCTCAGACGTGACTTTGGTCGGTCACTTGTGCCCCGACGTGACTTTTGTTACATTTACAAAATGATGTTTTCGTTGGAAGAAAAGCAGGTAAGGATAGTGTGTCAATATATTGAATTAATGTAGCCCTTGGCCTGACCCGGATTTTGTTGAATTACTTAACAATGTCTGTCCGGAGTAAAACGGAGTCAATTAATAACGAGGGGGGCGAAACCACGCAACTGCCTTCTACCCCCGAGTACGGCCGACGGTTTAACCTTGGAAAGTTCACACTCAAGAGATAAAACGGATTGTGTTTGTTTTTATTTACAAATTACGCCAATTTCCGGTCATTCTCGCACTGCCTCGGCGGTGATTTTGGGGCACTTATGGGCCAAACTCGGTCCATTTAGGTCCCTTCGCATGTCCCAACGACTCGAAAAGTGGAAGCACCAACAAAAGATAACCTTCAAAAATAAACATATGATACTTACCCAGCAATTCACGTCGCATTCATGCGCCTTCACGGCGACGACATAATGAAACTACACACAATAACATTTTTGCATACAATTCGAACATTGATCGTCTGAATTAAGCCAAAAATTCGATTTTTTGACTCAAATAAAATTCAGCACTCCGAAACCATCTTGGTTTTTTTAGTTCGACTGGTTTCCATAGATGGCCCTAGGTGATTCAAAATCGGGCGCCAACTTAAGTTTTTATTCAAAAAAAAATACATTTACTTAATCGGAATGTTCGTTTAAAAATTGCTGTAATAACGTGTTTGCGATTGGAATTATCAAATACTCGGTCCCGTCTGCTGCTCTTTTGAATTTCACCATTTTGTGGTCCACGAATTCGGTGAGTTGGGCCCGCAATGCCAGGTCCGAACTGACCAAAAATGCCTCGCGACATAACGAGTACAAGTCTTTGAATGCCAGACCTGGAATAAATCAATCAGTAGACCTTACAAATGTGATGATAAAGCACCTTGATAATATTGTTTTTTGCCATTTTCGATTTGATGCTTGACGAGGATTAAATAAATTCCTTTAGAGTTGCTCGTCAAAGATAAGAAAACGTTTCGAAGTGATGATAAGGCCAGATTTCCGGTCCTTTGGACCATCATTGAACTTTCAAAAGATGTTTCGTCGATGTAACGTTGGAAAGTTGTAACATCCCACCATGTGAAATTAAACTTGCTTATTTTTGAATGATCCCAAACTAGAATAAAAGTTACTTTTGGACTAACAGAAAATTGGAAATTACCTAACGGGGCATTTATATGATCAATTGACGCTATTAGATGTATGTTATTTACTGTAGCAAGTCTTGCAAAGACACTCTGGGCTTTTCCACTCCTCATCATGTCAATATTGTGTACAATGAGATATAAATGCGTCTCGGGAATATAACTAAATTCGCGTTCTATAAGGTCACAAGCCTCATAAATATTTGAGGGATTTTCCTTCAATTCTAGTAAATTTAAAATAATTCCATCAAGGACATCTTTAATTGATAATGAAGGGAAAAATCCGTTTACCACAACCGTTGGTAATTTTTTCAAACACTTTTCATGAAAAGCGTTCAAAATGCCTTTCTTTGAACCTAAACCATACAATAAGATGTTGATATTTTCGTGCATCAAATACATCCATTTATCAAAATAAGCGTAATAGGTCTCGATCAAATTTTTCGTGGCTTTTTCATGCTCACGCCCTAGACTAACTCTCGACAAAAGTTTATGTAATTGGTCTTGAGGCAGTCTTGGTGTTTCCAATTTATCTAAAGTATGATTCGATGTTACGTTTTTTTTACTAGCATGATGCGAAAAATAATCATCTGTTTTTATCGTGTAATTGACATTCTTTGGAGGTAAAGTCGGTTTTATATTTCTATTCTGTGGGGCTGATGATGTCTCGTCACTACTATCAGACTCTTCCGAACTTTGTTCATTGGACACTTCAAATTCACTCCCACTGGATGAAAAATCCCCACTTGAATCATTCTCTTCTAAAATTTTTGCCGCTATATCTAAAAAAGCACTGTTATGTTGGAAACACATATAGGGACTCCAACCTTTTTTCATTTTATCCCTGAAAGCGTGTGGCGTTTTGCCCCCAGTTTGTAAAACAGCCTCGCATTTTTTGCGCGTTTGAAACGTAAACAGTTTATCGCCAGGCACATAATCGTTGTCGTGCAAAACTGCAAAAAAATCATAAAGACAACTATACAACAGGAAAATAGACCACCTGTTGGTTTTTCTCTAATCTCGCAGTCAGAATCATCCTCAGATTCAGGGGTAGGAGAAATATTCAATTTTCTAGAACCGCGTCTCCTTCTACTGGAAATGGATACGTTTTCTTGAGCTTTCAGACTCAATTGACGGTGCCGGGAGCCCCGTCGAGGCGACAATAGCTCAGGTTCAGTACAGTCATCTGAAATTTTAGGTTAGGTTCTGGTTCAAATAAGGCAAAAATTGATACAAACCTGACATTTTAGATCCATACAAACCAAAAATTGGCAATTAAAATTGAAACTGGTGTAAATTGTAGAAAATATTTCGTTATCAAAACTTTTGGCGCCTCTCAAACTTTAAATCAAGACAAAGTGGCTATGCAACCAATAATAATACACTTGACATTTCAATAATTAATAACATTTTTATTGTGAGTAAAAATATAAATTTTAATAAAAATTTCCACTAAACTGTTGTAAATACTTACGTAAATTGTAGTAAATATTTCGATATTAAAACTTCTTGAGCATTATCTTTAGATTAAACAAAGTAGTTATGCAACCAGTTATATAATTCAGGTTGCTGTACTTTAAAACATTTCTATTGTGGAGTAAAATATAACCGTCTTTTTTTCTTTATCTTTTGCCCATTATAACTCCTGCTTGGCTTCACTTATTTTCAACATATGGCTTTTGAATTGAATCGTGGAAACGTTCTTTTAGAAGTAGACAAAACTTGAGTCGTAGAATAAATTCTATTTATACCACCCATGGTTGCTTTAAAAATAGTTATGCTATAGCGACTTTGAGGTCAATCTTGCGGCATTAAAACTCGATTTTGGTGTACTTAAATAAATTTAATGAGCATTATGATTACAGTTACAAAAATAATCAATGTCCAATAGAAACCAACTAAAAATTAAACATATTGCTTAAATAACATTAGATTTGCCCCCTTCACATGGAAGTAGGAGACCAAAAATTCATTTCCCTAAGTTCCGACGGTTTAGGTACAAACACCTGACTCTTCTTGCTAATTGGTACCTCATCCACACTCAAATTCGACTCGCCCCTCTTCATCTCCTTCTCCTCTTCGGCAATAAACCCCATACTCTGTGACAAATTCTGCCTTTTGCCCAACAAATTCGACAAAATCCAACTTCCCTGATGTTCCGTTTCGACAAAAGGTCCCGTGAAGTATTTATTCACCCGGCGAGTACTCTTAGGGGATGAGTTAGGGGACGTCAAGGGAGAAGCCGGCAACGACTTGCTCCCTCGACGAAGCGAAGGGTTAAAACCCTCGGGGGGCAAATCACAATCCTTTTTCTGAATATCAAAACCACGGATTGCTTTCCCTAACACCATCTGGTGGGCTACTCGCACCACAGAAGTGCCACATTTCGCGGCCTCGCCTTTGAAACCGTCATCGACTCCACTGGATTTCGTCTTGGTGGCTGAGGGAAAACGAACCTGCTGGGCCGTGGTACTATCTGGAAAAGACCATGTGGGCCTATTATCACCGAAATAACTACTTTACCGGTTAGTGATAGGGGCTCCATGGCACGCACGGACTGCCATTCAACAATGAACTGGATTTAGGTTTATTTGCGTTAGATAAGTTTCATTCAATACCGGGTGGCCAAACATTAACAAAAGAAAAAGAAAAACAAAGGGTTCACTCGGAATTATCTACTACTTGTGAGATTATAAATAATGAGACACCTTGTATAACACGTGGTGTGAAATTAACAAAGAGATGTGGTTAAGAAAACACAAAAATGTTTGGTAGTAATAAACAACGTTACGTAAACATTTATCGCGATTTTATAGCAAATAGTGCGATAAAAAGTTCAGTCAACATTTGAAAATTTACGTCAGTGATAAGTGATTAAGATACTTACCAATTGAGTTTTGCAAAAACTTCTGACAATAGGGAGTATGTTTGGAAAAGTCAGGTTGGGCCCCATTCCAATTTTTGTCTTTCAAATTCGCCGCAATTGTTTGATTTTGTGTGTCATTAAAACCTCGTGTTTTATTATTGCGATAATAATACATGAAACTATCATCTAATTCAGTCGGTGAGAAAGCGCTTTGTTCAAAATCTAGCCTGAATTTCAAACACAAAATTTTATTATTTTATTTCACTCAAAATTAAAATACCAACCTATCATTCATTTTTGTTTTCATCCATTGTGGGAGTGACATTCCTGAAGACAGTGACCTATCTTCTTGAGTCGCCATTATGTAACGAATTTTCAACAAACAAGTAACATAAGCTCAATTAACTAGACTTAAATTAAATTACAATTAAATTTGTACTTATAATAAATCTGTCTCCGTGCCGGTCTGTCTCTAGGAGTATGCTTTTGCCATTCTACTGAGCTGTAAACAAAAATAATCATATGAGAGTTACGTCAAGTATTGTTGACAATGCCAAAGCTTTTCTTGGCACGGATCAGTGGTTAATTTTTATGATAAAAACAGGTGCCAAACCGCTTTGGAATCACAAAACCATAGTAATAAAGGCCAAGGCAAGTTTGATGAACCATGAAGGTAATAATTTGGATTAAAACAAAGCTCTATTGTAATTTTCCACAACTGGCCCAATTAATTTGTCAATTGCCACAAGCAGGAAGTTTCCAGAACGCATTTTTACAAATTAAAAACGTCATTTAATGCATATTTGACATCATTTATTCCATGAATTCAAAGCAGGTTTATGAATATTTAGGAATTTTTTAGATAATTTTCCGCTTGAAAAGGTGAAAGTTCCAAATGATAAATTTTTATTCCCTAGTCAACATAATATTTACAATAACAAATCTATGCTTGACTCACCCTTGATGAGGAAATAAACCGCTGACAAGTAAAACAGAAACAAGATCCGGATCTCCAACCAAAATTAATTATATTGAGACTATCGTTTTTTTCATTACTTAATTATTAATTTTTAATGACCTATTGTGATATTATGATAATTATGCAATGTTTTCTTAAACCTAATCACCAGTTTTGAAATATACACAAAGATAATAGCAAAACAAATCGTTTTTTTTCTTTTTTGTCCATTGTTGCATCACTTTGGAAAGTGTAGGTATGTAGGCCGACGGCCATTTCAAATTATTATTTGAACAATTACTCGTTATTCGCCGTTCAAATGTCAGAAAAGAGTTCTTAAGGCCATCTGCTATCGCATACGATGATAACGCGCCTGACATGTTTAGAGCCAAGTTTTTCTTATTTTCTGATTGGATCATTGTCACGCCATTTTCGTTGCACAAAATACGATAAACGAAATGGGGGGCACTCACCTTCATTTTTCTACTAATTACATTGGGTTTTCTGCAATAAAACACACACATTTTGGAACGATAATTACACACAAAAATGAAGGCTACTACTCGAGTTTGGAGCACAGCCGTCAAGAATAAAAGGGAAATAATCGACCGAAACGTGCGCGGGGGCTGTGTGCGCAAGTGGTCACCATAAACCCGACAATTTTTTCACCGTAGTGTTTTTTAAAACTACTAATTAAACAAAGCTTTTTTTTAAACTCTGTTGTAAAAAGGCAATTTCTTGTTTTTCTTTTTCGTTATTAACCTGAAAAACGCAACATTTAAATGAGTTTTCATGAACAAAAAATTGTCAGTAAAAGTAATACAGCACCTGTTGGCGCATAAATGTGACTCGAAATTGATATACTTTCCTCTCCATCTATTTCAAACATTTTTTATTTAATGTTTCAGTTGATTTCTTCGTTTTTTTGTCAAAATCACCTGTAAACAAGTGGAGTAGTAGAAATTAAGCCACAATGTTACAAACCTACCATTTTCAATAATTTATGTTTAAAACAACAGTAATCACAATTATTTGCGTTAATTTTCAACTTTTTCACGTGAAAATATTGACATTTAAATTTGCGGCCATAATAATTTTCAAAAGTCAGTGGTCAGTGTTGCCAATGTAAGTCATTTTTGGTGCAACTAAACCTCTGATTTCTGAGCGTAAAACTGGGATTTATTGGAAAAACCGTGAGAAATTTCGAATTTTGGTGGAAAAGCCAGCGACCCGTTTTGAATGAGGAACGAGCTGTGCCCTGATTGGTTGTAACCCTCGCGCGTGTGCCTTGGTACTTTTGTTGTTTCGGTTTGTTGTATTGGCTGTGGTGATTTGGTGAGTTTCTCCCGATTCTCCGTGCGTCCAGAGGTAACGTTTCGAAATTCGTCAGGACTTGGTGGATCCTTTGTCCTAAAAAATCCAAATCCTTTGAGAAAGCCAGCCCCTTTTGCGCCCCATTCGAGTCCCGAAGCATCGAAAATGCAGCCGAGAGTCCGCGCTTTCCACCAATCCGCTCGCAAATGAAAGGGAAAAGCTGTTTGTTCCAGGTACGTTCATCCATTTTTGATTATTTCGCTGACATATCTGCAGAAAATTTCAATTTAGCTTCAATCGAATTGAGTTGAAATCATTTCTACTCGCGATTCGGATAGTTGGATGTCTCGTTTAACGATTCGCTTTGTGTTTTTTATATGAGATTGGCTTTGGTCGCGAGAAAAAAAATCTTTTTCGCAGGTGAGGAAGTGAGTCCAGGGGGTTGCAGTCATGGTTTCGACGAGGCAGATGAGCATTGGGAATAATGGGACTGAGGGGGCAGAACACTCGGAAAATGGCCCTGCCAAGTACACGAGGAATAGCACCGCTGCTACACATTCCAGTCATCAAGGACAATGCAGCAAAACCACCACCAGTGCACCGCCAAAACCGCATTTTTTAGACCTGCCCCAGGAAATTATCGAAAAGATTTTTAGCTATTTAACCTACAAAAACATCTGCCAGCTGAGATTTGTAAGTAGGGAGATTGTTTACACACGAGCGTGGAAATTTTTCATGCAAAACAAGCTTTTCCGACAGCAATCACAAATTTTAATTGTTGCCATTATTTCGCTAATTGTTTGTATAATTAACGGTCGGGAGTTTTATTTCCTTATTCAAAAACCAACAAAATGCAACGTGATTTAGGTCCGTAAACATGATGCAACTTATGAAACTAAAAGTTTTTCTAATCTTCATAAGTTTGTTTAAAAAATAACTATTTTACACGTAATTAATAATTTAATGTCCTTCAAGTTGCATCATTTTTGATACGTTTTTAAGTTACTTTATCTTATATTAAGTTTCTTCAAAAAATGAGTTCTTGTAGGTACTTTAAAGTTTTTTAGACATTCAGAAATATTAGCATCTACTTTTCGACCATCAGTCATTTGAAATGAAGTTAAAAGATACATTTTTTTAAAGAAAAGAAATAAAAGTTCTCTTTCACTTGAATTTTTGATGAACTTAATTTAGCAAAGTTCCAAACCAAATATGTAGGTTCCTTTAAACAAACTTTAAAATAAACAGAAAAAATGTGAAAAAAATTATTTTGGTCGTAGGTTTGCACCAGAATCGATCGTATTTGCGGCCATATTCTGAACACGACCTTTCAACGTTTACAACATCAACTCCTCGACCGATTTCACGAAATCAAACGTAAAATGCCTCGTCGAGAGAGTGCTCGTCGAAACCATCACCTGGCTTGTGAGAGTGACATCATAGAAACCCTCCACATGCGACTAACCCTTTTACAAATGTCTCTCGGCAAACATATAGAACGTAAGCACTGTTGCTTTTTCCCCGGTGAGATCCTCGACGAAGTTTTGCACATTTTGCATTACATCAAAGTCACTCCAAAATTGGCACGTCCTTATAAAGTAACCGACGAACTGTTTGATTTGTCCACAATGGCCATGGAGTACTTCAAGGAGAAAATCGAGCCGGACTTGCCCGAAATTGCGTATTTCAACACGGATTTCCTCGACTTCGCTGGGAGTTACCCCTGTAAGTATCACTTTTCCGAGTTGGGGTATTTAAGGGTGGTGTTTTCCAGCCACAAGCAAGAAAAACTACTTGCTGGACTCGTTTTCGATCGATATGGACGAAGCGAAGGACGCCGACAGCCCCCCACATGACGCTTCGAATGTGGAAGCATCGCCCGAAGGGGCGCCACAATCTAATATAGTACTGCGAAAAGGCATCAGGAAAATCAAGCAAGGCATGAAGAGGTACAACAGTCAGTTGACGATCCTGCGACAGGACGTGCGTTCCTGCCGACAGAAAGCAGCAGAACAGCAGAAATTAATGTCCGAGCAGCAGAAACAACTCGCTGAACAACAGAAACAAATCCTCGAATACGCCACTCGCATGGACGAGAATGACAAAAAGAACGAGGAAATCTCGCGGAAGTTCAGCACGCTGTTGCAGGAATTGAATAAATGTAAAACTGAGTTGCAGTACTGGCGATCGAAGTCGCCCGCAACGCCGCTTTTCTGTACGAGTTGCGGAAACGCGGTGCTTCCGCATCCGGAGGAGTTGGAGGCGTTGGTGAATCAAGGGGTGAATCCGGAAGGGCTAGGCTTGGAGCCGATCTCGGATTTCGAACCGATTCCGGGGAGTAGTAACAGTGGAGAAGCGACTGTGGAGGTTTCCGTTGTCGAGGCGGTCGCCGAGTCGAGTAAAAGTACTAAAAGAAAATTTGAGGATAATACACCGACGAGAGCTTCAACAAGTAAAAAGTCACGCAGGATTCTCAAAGGGCGCACCAACAAAAGATCAAAAATTTAATCGCTTAGTGACGTTTTCGTTGACTGCCTTTTAAGACTGGTCCAGTGTTATATTTGGAGCTTTTTTGTGCACAGCCTGAAATTTTTTTCATTTGGTTTTTTCACTCCTCACGAAAGGTAGAACAATACTACTCAGCTTTAAAGTATTACATGCTCTCCGTGTCTGTTGTATATTGTGTCTCAGGAAGTGTCCATATTTGCTAGCCAGTTTAGAGAATTATGTGTGATAGGACTACGAAACTCTTGCCCCCATCTCCCGTTTTTGTATTTTGTATAAAAATTGATAGTGTTTATTCAGTGGATTTTATTTGTAGGGTCCAAATAAATGAGTTTTTGGACACTGCCATTCTGTGTATGGGAACATACGATTACAACGTTTCTAGTACAACTTTATTTTTAGACTAATTTTTGTAAACATTAATTTAGTTAGTTTTCTTTTGTTCAGTGTAAATTGATAGAGTGTATATTACAAACAAAAACTGATTCAATATCGCGCTTTATATAGTTTATTTTGCATGAAATGTTAACGATTTTACTAATTTCAATAGTTTATAGGTAGTTTAATTTTACTAAACATTGTTGATACACAGTATAATCTTTTTTCTAACTTAATTTAATATAAAGTGTCCTTTTATTTTATTTGGAAATTAGGATAGGTGTGATAAACACTACTAGACTTAAAATTAACAAAATTGAATAAACAAAGAAAATTCTCTATTTTCGAATTTAATATATGTACCTATGTACCCGTATTTTATTTAGTTAATAAATTATTTGTGTGATAACTGTTTTTCATTAAGAAAATAACGAGTCAATTAAACCACTTTTTATTAATTTGCCTAACTAAAGCATTACACAAATACTGTAAGTAACTCTAAGCTTTCATATAATACAAAGATAAGATTAAATGGAAAAACACATTGAGATGAAAAAAATTCCATTAATCTCATCTAATCTCTTTTTACACAAAATCATGCAACCAGCAATACACTTCTACAGTCTTGATTGCATAATCGCACATTCTTCAAATTTTTGCACTTTGATTAAACTTTCGATTGGAAATTTGTTTACATCACTTATTTTGCAATGTGTTCGCATCAGACCATTTAATATTTACATTATCATTGACGATAAGTGTGAGTTAACTGTTCACCACAGCTCTAACCTCAAAGCAATGTGGTGATAGAACACAGAACAAGTTTTGTGGTAAATAAACAGCAATGCCCCGAGAACACAGCACTTTTCAGAGGTGCAACAGCACAGGTTCGATTGGTTTGGGCAACTCGTCCGTAAACTCAGGTAAGGTAAACATTTGTGGTGCAAATTAGTTCAAAATTGTATTTAGACGACGAGGATGAGCTCGAAAGCAAGCCCTCTCCAATGAGCTACAAGGAGCGTCGCCGCGAGGCTCACACCCAAGCTGAACAAAAACGCAGAGATGCCATTAAGAAAGGGTACGACACTTTGCAAGAATTGGTCCCAACGTGCCAACAAACGGACGTTTCGGGTAATTGCCCCCAATGTTTCTACGTCGTGTAATCGGTTTTAATAGGGTACAAGTTGAGCAAAGCCACCGTCCTGCAAAAGTCAATAGACTACATACAATATTTGCAACAACAAAAAAAGAAGCAGGAGGAAGAGCGCAACGCTTTGAGGAAAGAAGTGGTGGCGCTTAGAATCATGCAGACGAATTACGAGCAAATCGTTAAGGCTCAACAGACACAACCCGGACACACTGAAACGCGGATTTCGGACGAAGTCAAATTTTCTGTGGTAATCCTCGGAAGTTACATGATAAAGCCATTAATCATAATTTTTAGTTTCAAGCCATAATGGAGCAACTTTTTCTCACGTTTAGTAATGTATCAGTGAGCAACTTTTCCGAATTGTCCGCCGGGGTTTTCAGCTGGTTGGAAGAGTGCTGCAAGCCCCAAACTTTGAAAGAGACAGTTTTTAAAGTCTTGCAGAGGCACAACAACCACATGAGGAACCAACCACCCAATTCGTAGCAATTTCTCGAGCAAAAACACGTGGTTTAGGTTCATTTCATTTTCACAAAAACCACCAGTGTTAATCAGGGGTTTTGCCAGTCAACTGTGTCTTAATTTGAGGGAATGGGAGGAAGTTGATTATTCTTTGCAATTTTTATATAAAACTTTAAGTACCTATGCTATTTTATCGTTGTAATTTTGTTTTATTTTATCCAAATAAAGAATTTTTGTTAATTTGAATATTTTTTGTACGTGAATTTTTCACGTAATAGTTGAAAGATAGATTATTGATCTTTGGACGAGGAGAAGCGCCGACTATTAGCAATGATAATGAAGGTGGTGGAACAGAAAAACAAGCATTGGCCGTATCGATTGCGACCATTAATTGTGAAAAATATTTATTTTGAAATCAATAAAATCTGTAACAAAACACATTTATTTACACAGGGTTTAAAAAAAGTCGGTTTATTTTAGCAAAACATGTTGTTATACAACACTCGTTTCTGTTTGTTGATTCGAAATGTGCATGATGTACTTGAGCGAGATCGATTCTCGTCTTGTTTTCTGTCGTTGATTGTTCTTCTTGGGACGAGGCGGGCAACAGATGTGTCGGAATACATGAGCATAGCACAAGAACAATGATACGATGATGATGCTTCCGATGACTGCCGTCAGCACTATCTCCAGATATTCCAGGACGTGCATATCTTTCGCATTGTTACGAAATTTCAGATGACCTCGGAATGAATATCTGCAATTGTAACAATTAATTAATTACACGTGCGTGAACTCAAACTCCGGAGTTTACCAATTATATAAATCTAGCAATTGAATCTAAAGCTTATTTCAAGTTTCCATTACTTAATCTGAGCTTTTTATGGGCGGCGAGAATTTGGGACAGCCGCGTTGTTTCGATCCCGAAATAATGTTAAGTAAACAGTGAATGAGTGGTTTTATTGCACTTTGAAATAATTATTATTCTCAGTCAGATCGAGATGAAATAATGCCACGCGATGGATTCAATATCTTTATTTTGGCAAAATGTAGCTACGCCGCAACTTTTTTTTCTGAATTTGTCAAGGAAGTATTAGAAGATTGTTTATCCGCAGTCCCTTTCCTTAACACCTCTTAAAACACGGAAAAAAGTGAAGGAAAACAGAGTATACAAAACGATTTCACCAAAAAATGCGGAAGAAATTAATAAAATGTTATAATTTGAATAATAGTTATTTATTGTAAGAGTGTGTTAGGTAGCATTTTATCCACGCAAGAATGTTTAACCGCGAGAACGTCAGTTCGAGCGGTTAATTTTCTTAAGTGGATAAAACGCGACTAACACACGACTGCAATATAACGTTTTATCCACAATTACAGGCCCAAATTATTCCAAACTTAATTAAAAATTAAACTGACATTTAAACGTCACGTTAAATGTGCTTTCGGTTAAACGTAGTAAGCTGTTTGTTACGCGGTGCGCTGGTTACTAACAGTGGAATAAAGTTACTTTATTCCACTAGTGGATAAACTGGTACTTGATACGCATCTAAAATGTGGAATAAAGTCTTTTTATAGAGTGATTGTGGATAAAAGATTTTTTTTATTTTTAAATTTTAGTGTAATTAAATAAGAGCAAATCCGAGTCAAATATTGAACAAAATTAAAATAAACGAATAAAAACCTGGAATAAACTAAGGACTATTGAGATTAAAAGAAAATAATAATAAAAAACAAAATCAAGACAGCTTGAAAATTAACAATACAGTGGCGGACACGGAATTTTGGACATCAAATTTTTGAAAGTTCAAAAAATGTCAATGTAAGCCACGCTTTATTGTCATTATGATTGACGTTTGAAACTAAAATGTGAAAGTTTTAGTTAAAATTAATTTTTGGCGTCGATTTTCCTAAACAATGCCAGCAATACGTGTTTTTATATAAGTTCAATAAATTAATTTGATTTGTTGTCATTTTTTCTCTAGCTCTCAGGATAAAAAATACAAAGACCGAAAGTAAAGTTAGTTGCCTAACCATTTTACATTTTTATGTAAGTCGAATGACAAATCGTCCAAAATTCCGTGTCCGCCAGTGTGTTTTTGAAAAAATAAACATACTCATTGTCCAAATTGAATAAAAAACGACAATCAGTTCCAACCGCATTTTCTTTTTTTTAAAGTTGAAAAATGTATTTCAAATTGATATTACCAAAATGATATATACAATTCTGGAAACATAAAAACTTCATACGCCAACTACTTATTAGACAATAGGTAATGTTAAGGCTAAATTTAATTTCATTCAAAAAAATTACTACGTCAAAATTTTAAATATTTATTATGGGTACACATATCTGTATTTCTAATTTTTTCAAATGTAGATAGATCCCAAAAATGACAAAAATTAGATACTTCTTTTTCGGCTAACATTTTTATCTAAAAATCCTTGCTACCTCTCTTGATAGGACTTTAAATCGCTTTAAGGCCATCATTTACGCTTCCCAGATTTTCAGGAAAAAAGTCCAGGTGCAAGTTTAAGAAATGAATTTTTAGAGAAATGTTGACTCAATAAACTGAAAACAATTTCTTCATAATCCTTTTTTTTGCTGCTCAAGCAATTTTTCGCCACCGCTTTAAAAGAATGAATAAATAAGCATCTTTTTCGACACTGTTAAAAATTTTCATCTTTTACCTATTATCTTTTACAAAGATTCCTTCTTTGAGTTTAGCATCAGAAAAATTAGGAAAAACGTTTTTTATAAACTTTAAAGCAGATCCATTTTTGTCAAGTGCTTATACTAAATTTTCATAAATCCTACTTTTTAAGTTTCACATACTTACTATATTTCAGGAACCCATTTTTTATCAAGGTTTACAAGAAGTACGCCCATATTACTGCTTCGCTCTGATTGCTCTTTTTGTCATTATAATTTTATCACGAACATAGCAAAATTTGTTTGGGCTTAATTTACACCTTCTAAGGACACTTTACAATAAAAAAATGTTTAACAATAAGTTTACCACAACAACAATGAATGTCAAACTATAGACACTTCTAGTGGGTATATTAAAAAAAACTTGACGTGATAAATATACAGAGTAATTCTAAAGTATGTGTAAATATTTTGACTTCAAAAGAAGTCAAAATAACTCAACTTGCCTTATCCAAATGTTTATAGTTTTTGAGGAAGAGGCTTTTGTTCGTCGAATAAATTTAAATTTGGAACGCAGTTTTAAACTTCACCAACTCAAATTGTAAACGAATATGATTTCTGAGGTTAGTTCTTCAAAATCTATTACATTGAGTTAAAATTAGCAAAAACAGACATAGAAAAATGTCCTCATATAAAAAAAATAATGATAAAAAGGTAAAAATTTTGCATTATTTTTTTTATTGAAGATACGACCGAATTTCATTACCTCAGCTAGCAAGCAAAACTTTAGGATAAAATAATCGAAAGGTTCAAACTTCGTTTATATTGCAATTTTTTGAGCTCTACTATCACCTGTTAAATGTTAAAATATGTATTTGCACATACCTTAAAATCACCCTGTATATGTGACATATTGTAATAGTGTAAATTAATTATCTTTGGATAAAAGAAAAAAAATGCAAAGTATAAAAAAAAATTGCAAAGTATAGTGTACTCCAACAACGCTCTTTCGTCAAAATGTAGGTATATTTCCTTCCTTAATTTGTGATAAGTCAAGAAAATTGTAAAACAAAAAGATTAGTTACCTACCTACATTAACAAAATCGATTAGTAGATGATAATTGTAGAAAGTGGGAACTTGATGTTTTTTCTTTAAAACCTGAAAAATTTACTTCAGAAAGTAAAATATTTTCAAATTTTATACGCCATCAAGGACATGTTAACACCAAATTCATTTAATGAATTAAAGAGAGAAAAATAAATACAAGATTTGGTAGAGTTTAAACACCATATTGTGTAGAGACAGCTTGCAATTTTTAAGAGAATAATCAATTTTTTCTATACAGGATGCGTCAGAACTCGCGCCCCAGAGAAAAATGACATGTAAGGTACGATGTTAAAAAAATTCTATCTATAAAAATTTCGAAGTTATGAGTTTAAATTTCGCACTTTGACTATTTATTTCGTTAGGTGTCAGTATTCACTAAATAAAATTCTCTCCCAATTGTAAATTTATTTATTTCGGAGTACCGGTTTCGGCCATTTGGCCTTCATCAACCCTACGTCACACTCAATCACACATTAAAATATTTGAAAACTTTAAATAAAATTAACATTGTATAAACGACCTTAGTTTGTTTATTTTTGTTGGAAAGCTGACATTTCTGTTGGAAAAATAATTTTCCTAGTTTTTTTTTTGCTTTTAGAAGAGAAAACAAGGAAGCTGTATCCTAAATTGTAACTCTGTTTAATGTTATTTGTGGCTTTTATTGTCAAAATTTTTTAAACATTTTTTTCTCTACGCCGCCAGTTCTGACACACCCTGTATATTTGCAAGGGATATTAAAAACATATTCCCAGGTTGAAAAATCAGGTTTCATAGTAATTATAGACGCAAACGAATATTGATACTTGGAAATCCCTGGCCGTGTCTCATTTCGAAGTCAGCCTCCGGATCCAATTTTCGTCTGGAGCAATCCGCGCCCATTTTCATTATCCCCGCCCTGTCATTTTTCCCTATTCGTAAATAAAATATCAGTCAATAACACACGGGAACCAATAAATCAGCCATCTAATCGATCTTTTCTCATGCAATGTTTCTTTTCTGCTGGATTATTTGTCTAAAACTTCCGCCCGTTTGAGTTTTAACTCGCTTTGATCTCCCTTGAAGACGGGTCAGAAGTTTGATTAATTTTTTTTCTGCAATACCGATCGTGTAACAATCATACAGTGGATGCATGATTACGTGTGGCCATCAGCTTGGAATCAGTCAACAGTGAAAAGTGTTAGCGGTAAACTTAATCTAATCATTACATGCTTCGTGAACCGTGTTCACTCAAGAGCACGGATGACATGTAGAAGCGCCTGAAACGGCGAATTTTTCACTTTAGGAACGAGGAGTTGCAAATTGCAACGCTTCGGAAGCGCGAATGCAAACCGAATTTCGTTTCACCTGACAAGAAATAAATTTGTCGAGATTCATTAGGGCGTTTTGTGTGTTGAGAGGGGCGAAATGTGACGGTGCTGTGGCGAGGGAGGAAACAGAAAAGTTTGACCAAAAAAAATATAATAACACAAAAAAACCATAAAAACACACCTTCAGAGTAAGATTATTAAGATTCGTCTCATTTTGTTTTAATTAAGAAACGACTAACCAGATTTTCATCAAACTTCTTCGTCGCTTTCTAAATTACCTAGGACCTCTTTTTCATGCAATTTGAAGTCATAAGAAAATAAACAAAATCACGAAAACACCACAAAAATAACAAGACGAGTCAAACGACACCTTTTGATCATAAATCTGAATTTAGTCGCGGCCGCAAATCTTTTCCAGAGGTTGATATTATTTGAATAGTAATAGTAATAAAGCGTTCAGTAAATAATTGGATTTATTTCAGTAGAAAATGATAAAACTTCAGTAGGCATTTAATTAATTTTTGCACGGTTAAAAACTAGGAATGATTAGTAGATTATGCTTCCAGGCTTATTCTTAACTTTATTACTCAATATGTCAAAAAACTATACATCGTAGAGTATTTTAACTTGCATCGTGTTCAGCTCGTAATTTGTCGTCTAGAAAACCATATTTCAAGTGTTTTTACGACTTAAGGTAAATTGACTATTTTTACCATTTTACTACCGCTCACCTTCAAGAACTCAAAAAATTTGAAATTTTTTAAACTTGACCCATTAACGTTTTATTCACTTTATCGAGTCTTTAAGACCTCTAGAAATGTAAAAACGTTATATGATTCAATTTAAAGTTAATTTCTTTTTTTGGTCGAGATTTTGGTCGATTTTTAGCACTCGGAACGGTTTATTGGCAATAACTCCGGACTTATTGGCGATAACCTCTTATGTGTGGTACCGTTGGATAGAAAATTTAATTTTCTTTTAATTCGTAAGAGTCGCGAATCTGACATCATTTTTAGTGTCTTACCGTCACGTATCTCATTTGTAATTTCATTTTTAGTTAAACCGACACAGAACACACAAAAAAAAACAGTAATTATGGAAATACTTGTGGGACTCACTTGAAGCTGTCACTCGATATCACTTTATTTTAGTCGATGTCTATGTGTCTGTATTGGCCGTATCATTAAGTATAAACTCGATAAGGCACGATCGATGTTACTTGATCGTCCACGATCGACGTTCTGTGTATCTGCTGCCTAATAGTCGTTCACAAAGTAAAAATTTTCGTAAAGTCGTTTTCTCCGGTTAACTTTATACAAGGTGATTCACGAGGAATAATGAGCCTGACCAAATTCTCGATGGAACCACCATTACTCTTCGTAAGTTATTTTTGCGACAAATGTAATGTTGGTTGCATCGAAAATTTGGTCAGGCTCGTTATTCCTCGTGAATCACCCTGTATATAGTACTTACTAGTTTTTTTTATAAGAATCAAAAATTTTTGATTTGTTAGTCAGAATCGGATATACTTAACATAATATTTTCAACAGTAAAAATAATAAGCAATTGCAGTCATTCTACTGATTGTCTATAATTTTGTGTACTAAGCGTACAGAGTGCGCCAGAACACGTGCCCTAGAGAAATGCCATGTAAGGTACGATACCAGGAATATGGAAAAAATGTTAAAAAAATTATGTCTATAAAAATTCCACTTTGCTCTATTTATTTCTCTTGGAAAAATAATTTTGAAAATGTTTTGCTACTGACTATTAGAAGAGGAAACAAGGAAGCTGTTTCCTAAATTGTAACTCTCTGGTTAATGTTATTTGTGGTTTTTATTGGAAAAATGTTTGTACCTTTACTAAATAATTATTAAAAAAACATATACAAAATCATTAGTATCATTAAATAGACATAAAAAAATATCAAATGGCAATTTTTTTGACAGATAGAATTTTTTAAACATTTTTTTCCATGTGCCTGGTATCTTATCTTACTTCTGGAGCGCGAGTTATCACACACCCTGTATACCGAATGAATAAAAATTATAAAACTTTTCGAAAAAATAATTACTTCATTGTAGATACTATAAAAATATGATCGTTTTTCAAGAAAAAAAATTTCAAAATTCCCTTTAGTTTTCAAGTTTTGCAAAAAAAATCTACTGTGCATTTATTATTATTTTCTATTGTTAATGAGTCTGTTGTTTTATTGTGTAGATATTAGTTTACTGGACATTCATTGACTTTATTTTTATGCATTTGTTCCCTTATTATTTTATAAAACGATTTTTTATTAAAAATCAGACAATAGCTAAAGAATCAATCCACGACATAATTTTTGTCATCCACAGATTACCCACCAATTTATTTCGCTCTGTGTAAACGTTGCAATAGAACAGGCCCTGTAATTAACAAATGGAATTAACTGTAAGCCTTTGAATATTAATTAAAACTTGTTTCCGCGATATTTTATGGCTAAATCCGATTGTCAGAGACGTAACACCCGACATGTCCATGTGTAACAAATTTATCACCAGATTAGCACTATTTATATTCTCTCGATAAATATTTGGAATCGCACAAAATGGAATTAGGTACTTGCAAGAAAAGCGAATAAACTCGGTTTTGCACCGACTTTTCCAATTTAAGAAGTGTGAAAAGCAGAGTTTTCGTAGTTTGTATTTCGGTAATTCCACCGATAAACTATGCAAAAATGCAATTTGCCGGGAAATTATACCGAAGCGAGTGGAATGGAATTACAGCCGGGATTCGTCCCTAAATTCCAACTTTCAAAAATTAAATTTAAGCTCCGACTTTGATTCAATAAGATCACCGTCGCGGAAGGATAATGCAGGATGAATTGGATGAATTTTTCACGAGAATTATTTACACAGTCAAGTCGTAAAATATCTTTACGATCAATCATCGCCAATAAAACCGAGATATTTGTAAGGTGACGGTTTGCTTTCATCTAATAATTGGTGAAACTGTTTAGAGATAAGGAAAATTGCGAAAAAGCCAGATTCGACGTGAAGCAATTAGAGGATCATTCCGAATTGTTGTTTTTTACAATAAAACGAGTTTGAATGAGTTACGTTTCACTGACTCTGAATACAAATTGCGAATAAAATAGCAATTTCGGGATCATTTAAATTGGGTATACAATAAAAAACAGTATTGGGAAAATAAACGTTGCAGTGACACAGAAATGCAACACAAAATATTGTGCTTAAACCAGATTTGAAAAATTGTTTAAAATGGTCAAGCCTCCAGCACTTTTCTTGAAATAGTCACAAATATTTTCCCATAGACACATTTATAACCAAAAGCTTGCGGTTAAACTGCCACTAGCAGCTTTTTCGAATGAAAATGCAATTTCCTTCCCGTGATTGCTCCTCGTTGGGCTTTGAAAACACTTATTTTGTGGTTTTCAAAAACTGTAAAATAAATATCGACGATAAAAATTTACCACAAAAAAGTAGAATCAAATGGAATGGAAATATTTAGTAAATATTAGTAAATATATAGTGAAGACTTAAAATTGTTTTGAAAAAATGTTTGAAACTCAGTAATAGCGAAAATGAAACATGGTATTATCTAAAAATTCGAAATTGTTTGTGAAAATATGCGAAAAGTGTACGAAATAACGTTAATTAAAAATAATTTAGTGTCTCAGTGGTATTTCCCAAATCCCCAAATTAATTAAAACTTAAAAAATTGCTTAAATTGTAAAAACGAAAAAATGGCTTTAAGAATGTTGACGATGCTTTATGTCTTCGAAAATTTAATTAACTGAATATTTCATCATGCGATTCACCCAATAATTAATTATCTCAATAATTAGATTTGGTTTAAAGTGATGCGAGTTAATTCCATTTGGAAACTTGGTCTAGTTTGAGTTATTTTAAGTGCAATCACCCTTGCAGAAAATATGCGAAAGGGGTCACAACCCCTTAACCTACCTCAGCCATCCCATAAAAATCACACTCGTGTAGTAAACGTGAGCATTACGCACGCATGAGCACTTTTGGGAGCAATACCCAACGTCGGCGTCGTCGGTGCAACTGATGCGGGGTTGAAACGACGCTCTCTAGCTCCAAACATCGGCGTCGATCGTTTTCCGACGCTCCACTCGCCCCAAACGTCTTGCATTTTTCGATTGTTGCTTAATTAAATCCTTTGAACGGAAACAAATTTCGGATTTTATGACCCGAGGCCGGCTTTTTGGCAAAGTTGGAATAGAGGAATGCTTCAGGGATTTATATCGGAGAAAGCAAAACAACGAGTTTGGGGCAAATATTTGAAATGAAGCCACCACTAATGGAATGACGCGCGGATCTCAGATTTCAGGATTTCTCTGGCCGTGACATTCGAATTTATCAATTTATATATCGATTTAAAAGTTAAACGTGTAAACAACTGGATCTACGACGCAAATTTGAATTTATGAGTGCGAAAATTTATTACTTAAAATATTTTATGATCGCACCTATTTTTAAATGCGAGCTTAATGGCCCTAAAAATAAATAAACCAAAGTGAAGAGATATTTAATACACAATGGTTGCCCCAAAATCACCTCTTGAAATGTTTGAAAATTATCAATCGATAGTTGAAAATTCGCCTAACGTGAAGTAGAAAAAACTAGATTTGTAAATAAATGACTTCAAAAACAATTTCGAATTCTTTTTTATTTGTGTCAATGTGTTAAAAAGTTAAAAAAAATCTATTTTATTATTTTTTTGTACAAAAATGATAAAATTACTACGAAACTCACTGCCTTCAAAAACTCAAGAAATTCGTATTTTTTCAAACTCAATTACGCTTTGCACTTTGTTGAGTCTCTATAAGACCTCTAGAAATGTCAAAAATTTATTTGCTTCAATTTTAAGGTTGGTGATTTTTTTATTTTTGTCAATCTTTGGTATCCAAGCTCCTAAAAGGATTAAAATAACTTTTTAAGAAATTTTACTTGATGAGTTTCGTTCAATTTTGAAGTTTCCAATTTTTAAATTTTTGATAAAATTTTGGTGGATTTTTGGTACCCAATAACTTTCCAATAACTTCGGAATTATTGGCGCTAACTCTTTATGTTTGACACCGTTGGAAAGCACATTTAATTTAATAATAGTTATTAATAGTTAATTTCATAATAGTTATTTACCTAACGAGTTCGGAAAGATAATTTTCCCGCATGAGCACTTTGTTTTAGTGCGAATGCGAGAAAATTCTTTCCGAAAGAGTTAGGTAGAAGGTTTTTTCTCAAAATGATTCAAAAAAGATAATTTAACATTATTTAGTAATATACTATTTGGTGAGTTGCCAGCCCTGTCCGTTACTATGTTTTTATGCAAACAAAATTTAAAACATTAGCGTCATTTTATTTTGTAATTTTTCAAGTAGGTATATTTCTGTGAAAATGTGTTCTGACAAAATTTTGACGACGCCAGAAATTAAAAAAGCAGCAACCAACTCAAAAAAGCCGATCAAGGTATGAAAAAATGTACCAAAATACCAACCGTACAAAGCGACTTCCCCTAGTTCTTGTTGTAAAGTAAAAAACACCGCGGTGAGGGAAAATCGTTTTTCCAATCTTCGAAAATAAATGGAAAAATTCTGTTTCCAAGCACTGAGTACAAAAAATCATTGTCCTACCATAAATAGGTATCGAATCGCTGATAATTGAAAAAAGGTCCAAAATATAACTGTAACTTCAAAACTATTGCAAATTTTAGACGTCATCAACATTTTTTTTTAATGGAAACCCCTATTTTTTTTACCCATTTCGATAGATCTTTTAATTGTCGAAATGACAACATCAAAATATTAAATATTACAAATTTGCAAAAAAAATCATTCAAAAAGTGAAAAACGTAAGTTTTCATATCAACAAAAAACAAACATACAATATTGTAAATCAAGTTATTAGGAATATTGTATTTTTTAAAAAGAAAATTGACCTGTTCAGTTCAACAAAATATTTTCAGTTTTAATAAATAAGATTATTCCATAATTTTGCCCCTCATTGTATATGGTTTAAAACATTAACCATTTTGGATATAGATTAGCCGAAATTTACAAAATAAATAAAAGTAAAAAATGTTTTTGGCCCTAAGTAGCTACTTCAGAAAAATCTATTTCTATTCATTTCTAATGCAGTTTATGATAAATCCTTCTCTTTGATTAATAGATTTTCTCTTTGTGATTGATTCAAAAATTTCATTATGCATAAAGTTGTCATTTCCGGTGTAAATAATTATCCACACTGTTCTCTTTACTAGTTTTTTTTAAATATTAATGCTGTTCAACAAAACAAAAAAGTTTCTTATAAATTAAACTTATGCTTTAGTGTTGCTTGTTTTACGAAAATCTATTTCTATTCAATTATTTTCTTAATCAGTGGCCTAAATTTAGACCTGACCTAAAACAATTTATCAAATCGATGACAAAACTGTATCAAGATTAGTGGATTTTCTTCTTATCATTGCTTTAAAATTTCGCTTTGCATAAAACTGCCGTTTCTGGTGTAATTCCACCCATTGATAAACACGAGGAAACGATAAATTCCCGAGAAAAATTTGCTCAGCTGTATTTGCGGTATGCAATAATTTTTGCCTCGCAAACACCAGAATAACTAATGATTTGTAAACCGACTCGAATATAGACTATAGACTGTATAATTGGGTTGATAAATCGCCGCGACTCCTAAAACCTGCTAAAAAAAATGAGGGAAATTGCAGTACCTCGAACAGATAAATTATTAGAAATTTTTTCACTTATCTAATCAGTATTTGTGATAAGAGAAAATTCCTGTTGATCTCCACGATATAGTCTGTTTTTTTCACGTTTTAATTGTGACTGTGTGCCAAAATGCGAGTTTTAATAAGGTCAGCAGTGTCAGAATGCGAACTAAACGCATTGCCCAAGACTCCTTTCCGAGAAATTTTCGATGTAATGTGCAAAAATTTACTAATTTTTGAAAAATGGTATTTCGGGCTAATGTATAAAGGGCCTGATTTTGAAGATATCTGGCTAGATGGCTCCAAAAAGGTAATACAATTCTAACTTTTCAAATCATAATAAAATAATTTCAGTGTTTGAGAGACTTGAAAAGCATCGTCGAAAAACTACAATTCAAAGTCAAATATTACCCCGAAGATGTCGGCGAGGAACTTATCGAAAAGGCCACAGTTGAGTTATTTTTCGCACAAGTGAAGAATGATATTGCGAAAGACAAGATTTACTGTCCTGCTGACACCTGTGCTCTTTTGGCATCGTATGCTTTGCAGGCACAATTTGGGGATTACGCCGAAAGTAAAAGATTGACAAGTCAAATAAAAAAATTAATTCCAGACCGGTAATTTTATATAAATTGTGAAAATTTCGACAAAAATGTTATTTCAGTGTTTTGAATCAACACAAAATGGATATTTCGGAATGGGAAGACACAATTGTGACAATGTGGCAAAAGCACAAAGGTTTTGAAGAAGAAGATGCAATGATGGAGCATTTGAAACTAGCCCAAAATTTAGAAATGTACGGAGTGACTTTTTTCAAAATCAAAAACCGGAAAGGCACTGATGTGTTATTGGGGGTTAATGCTTTAGGTTTAGATATTTACAAACCCGAAGACAAGTAAGTAATACCCTAATTTGTTAATGAATAAATCAATTGAATAATTATAGGTTAAATCCTCAAATTTCGTTTCCTTGGGCCGAAATAAAAAACTTGAAATTCAAAGACCGAAAATTTGTCATAAAACCAACCGATAAAACAAGTCAGGACTTTGTATTCTTCACTTCCGATCCAAGAATGAGTAAAATGATCCTGAATTTGGGCATTGGAAATCACTCTTTGTATGTTAAGAGACGAAAACCTGAAACTACTGAAATTGTAAGAATGAAGGAACGGGCAAGAGAAATGAGGAAGAATCGGGAAGCCCAAAAGTACAAAAACTGCTAGAAAAATTTTGAAATCATAAAATTTATTTCAGGCAAAAATTGAATAAAGAGCGTGAGGCTCGTGAAGAGGTCGAACGCCGCGAAACCCAGTACAAACTCATGATCGAATCGATGAAAGAAGAGCTTGAAAAAAACAAAGCTAATCTTCTCGATGCCCAAAACACCATCCAGAAGCTCCAGCAACAGCTCGAAGAGCTTCAAAAATCCAAAGAAGAACTCGAGAAGCAACAGCAGGAACTGAAAGAAATGATGGAACGTCTGGAACACAGCAAAAACATGGAAGCCGCTGAGAAATTAGCCCTTGAAAAGGAAATTCAAGAGAAACAATTAGAAGTGCAACGTATCCAAGAAGAAGTTGATGCCAAAGATGAAGAAACCAGACGACTTCAAGAAGAAGTTGAAGAAGCACGTCGCAGAGAGGAAGAACTGAGACAACTGGAAGAAGAACGCAAACAACGCGAATTGGAGGAAGCGAAGAAAGGGGAAGAAAAAGAACTTGAAGCACTACCGGAAGGGGCCAATACCGAGCTTCCGGAAATCGTCGATGTCAATGATCAGCTCCGGGACCAACTCAAGGTTGGTTGGCCTGCCTTGTGGTTTAAAATAATTGAAAATTTCAGATGTTGCAACAAAAATTGGACGAGACGAGGAACCAAACGATGGATACGGACCTGGATAAGATACATCGGGTGAATTTGGCCGAAGGCAGGAACAAATATAAAACTTTAGCCGAAATCAGACGAGGAAATACAGTACGTCGCGTCGAAATGTTTGAAAATATGTAAAAAAATACAAAATAAAATATGTTTATTTTTTTACCATTACGTAATCGTGTTTTGGAACGTACCCCAACTTGTCAACTGTCAATTTTAACAGACACAACATAACCCAATTTTTAGCTAAAATAACAAATATGAAACGCGAATTTAAGTGGTGACCCAAAATGAGCGAATCTGAAAGTGGGACTTACACCCAAACATGGCTAGGTACCCCCTTATCGGACTTGTACAAAGGCCAAGGCCCGTGGGGCTTCGCTACCTCTCCTGTCACGCCCGCAAGGTACCACCACGTCCTGTTTGAGCTCCCCGTGACACTAAAAGAGCCCCCACAGCCCCATTATAACTCACAACCCAAGCACTGGGATGATGATTACGTCAGGATGCCTTACTCTTCTCACAGTTTATTTTTAGTCAAAGAAGTATGTAAAGACTTGTATAAATTATAAATGAATTTGTGTGTTTCTAGGATGGAGAGGAAGTGATAAAACCGCGCTGGGATGTCATAAATGAAGCCCTTTCGAAACCTATCAACTCTGTTGAGGAATTAGAAAAAGCAATAAACTCTTACAATAACAAGTTACCAAAATTTACAGCACTGCAACATTTTTTTAATGATGTAGTATTAGAAATAATGTAACTCTATAGTGACATAAAGTAATTTTAGGTTGTAGAAGAGGAAGAAGCGCAACATTTTTTTAGTTCATTATTACCCAAAATCATCCAACTTGCATTACGTTTACCTGAATTAGTCCCTGGAAGTATCCCACTGTTGAGAAAAAATCATTCAAAGTCGGTCAGTTTGAGCCAATTACAAGTTGCGTCACTGTTAGCAAATGCGTTTTTATGTACTTTAATCTGGAGGAAAAAAACTTCCGATACTTTCCCTGGTGTTAATTTCACAAAGTAAAAAACACCCAAAAATGTGTTTGTATTTAAAGAAATTTTGCAGATTATTCAACGCCGATGACCGAACTTTACGCCAAGAATGTGTAGCAGAAAAATTGAAGTGTATCATGCACTACTTCAAGAGAGTTACTACCAAAAGTAATAATCCAAAATGTAAATTTGAGTTAGTAAAAACGCGTTTTTAGCTCCTGCCGGTGTCATAACTTTCGAGCGTAAATTCGTCCCAAGGAACCAAATGCCACGATGGGACACTTTGGACAATAATTTAGGAAACACCAAAGTACATATCTCAAGCTCAGGGACGATAGAAGAAGCTGTAGGTTTTCTACAAGTAGATTTTGCTAATAAGTAAGTCGCAATGTAACGCTCATTCCAATCATGTAAAAATTAGATTTATAGGCGGCGGTGTCTTGTCTTATGGCTGTGTTCAGGAAGAAATCCGGTTCGTCATTTGCCCGGAATTGATAATCAGCCGCCTGTTCACCGAAGTGTTGGGCGACGGCGAAGCCGTCATTATCACCGGAATTGAGCGATACAGCAATTACTCCGGTTACTCCAACACCTTCAAATGGGACGGCCCCTTCATCGACGACACACCGTTCGACGATTACGGTCGCCGGAAAACAACGTTGGCTGTGATAGACGCGACCCAATTCACCAAATCCAAAGACCAATTCCACTGTTCGACGATTTTGCGAGAACTCAATAAAGTATGTCACACACCAAGAAACGCAGTAGTTGTATGTGAAATTTTCTAGGCTTATGTCGGGTTCAGTTGTCGCGAAAAACAAAACCTGGCACCTGTGGCGACCGGCAATTGGGGCTGTGGGGCCTTCAAAGGCGACCCTAATTTAAAATCGTTGATCCAACTCATGGCATGCAGCGCCTCTGGGAGAGACTTGGTGTATTACTCGTTCGGCGATGTCGAGCTCCGAGACGAGTTTTACAAATTGTATCTCTTCCTCGCCAATAAAAAAATCACAATATGTAATAACAAAACGCAAGTTTGGTTTATATTAATTGGTTGTTTTAGGCCAGCTGTGGCGGTATTTGTGCCGATTTTGCGCCGCAAATGTCACTTCTGACAAGTTGTATTCATTTATCCAACAATGCCACTTCGATTCCAAAACGCAGCCAACAATTAAACAATTTTTGTGTTTCACACAGAAGAGGAAACCTGATCTCAACTTGCCCTCAACGTCGACCGAGGAGGAAGTGAAAACGAAGAAAAATTTGCCGAACAGAACAGACGAGTTGAAAATTTCGAAGTCCGAGGCGAAGCCGAGTACAAAGTATCCGGTTTTACCGGTGACGATCGAGCGAAAACAAAGTCCAGTCAGTTCAGACGAAATTATACAGATCATAGATATCATAGACGGGAAAGTGGCGAAAAGTCCGGGAAATGACGACCAAGAGGAAAGTTTCCTGTCCAAGATTGATAAAATGAAGAAAAGCGAGAAGAGTGACGATTGCGAGATTCCCATGGAAGTTGAGGTGGAGCCCAAACCTGTCGGATTCATCGAAGATAAGAAGAGGAAGATTAGCGATTATTTCTCTAAAGTGACGAATCATGTCAACAGCTATTTGTAATTTCTTAATAAAAATGAATTATTTTATTTATTTTGTTGATTTATTGTCCTTTAATCCGATTCAAAAGCTGTAAATCGCCTTTCTTTGTCTTTCTTGCACACTTCTAACGCTCTCACTCGCGGCCGACTGGTGGAACGTTTCGTCCGAAATAGAGCCATCATCCATAGCCCAAGCGGTGTTGCAGGTTTGTGTTGTGGATAAATGCGGTGTCAGCTGTCATCGAACTTGTGCAGACCCAATGGGCGTATTTAGTGCAAAAATGAAAAGACGCATCGTTTCGAATTTGATCAGGTAAAAAGTCATCGTCGGTTTTCCACCGATTTCACCTCACCGATTGCGTTCTAAATCGCCACTCAACTAATCGATTCTAGCCTTCCATTTTAAAATTTCTTGTCATTTAGTCGTCTAAATCTGGAAATTGTTGCTAAAATAGGCGATTTGTTATGGTCGGAAGTGTTTTGATTGATTTTTGGGTCAGTGTGTCATCGTTGAAAATTTTTCGCCGCTTGATTTTCTTATCTTAATTTAGTGTCATTATTATTTATAATTGCGATGTTAATGTTTAAATTGCATTTACGGTAGGCGGGTTTTCTGTTTTCGTGTGCCCACGACTCTACTACGGTTTTCCATTTGTGATTTTGCATTTTGGTGGGTTTCTTTCCATGTTACGTTTATGGATTTTCAGGGACGAGGCTGATTGTTGCGGTTTTGTTTGTTTTACACGTTTGTTAAACCGCGGAACATGTGCCAATTAGTTTTTCAAAAAAAAACAAGAACAAAAATGGGAGCGTGTGACGTTACTTGAAATCGTTTGCAGTAAAATTACTATGGGACTAAACAAAAATAAAAAAAAATCACATGATAATCTTCAAAAACGTCTTTACAATAAATTTACTTGAATTCTCATTTTCCAAGTTTTGAAAACCTGTTTGTTTGATTGATAACTGATAAGCATTCCTCGACAACGTTAATTTGTTTTCTTCTGGCTTAATGACTAATTATAAAGTTAATTATTGCGGTAATAGCATTGTCAATTTCGTTTTGCACTCCAACCACTCTTGCAGTGACATTTTGAAAAATGAATATTTTAAAATTTATATGAGGCATTATCAAACAATAAAAAATACCTTTCTTAGATTTGATTCCAAAACAATACAAAATTTTAGAAAAAAACAACAGTATTTTAATGTCTAATTGCTCTCTAAGTTTAATTCAACCACCTTCAAAAAAGTTCTTAAAATCTCATTTTAAATAAAAAAAATTCAAGGAGCAACTATTGAAAAAAAATTAAATCTTAAAGAACGTTGATTCACTTTTTTCTTTTCCTGTCATTTTTTATCCAATAAAAACATACAATGATAGAAGAGATAAACATTTAGCTTTCATACAATTTTTTTCGTGATACTTGATTGTTATTTGGTCATATCTGTACTGTTTTCATGCTTGTTATGGCAACGATAACAGCCATGCACATGTTTTACTTTTCTTTCTTTCATTTGCTTTTTTCAAATTAAATTGAATCCTTATTTCGAAGACTGGGTAAAATAATCGTAAACCTGCTCCTATTCTCAAAATTTTTGAAATTCTATTTTTTATTTAAAACTTGAACAAACCCAGAGTTAAAGAGCACAATTTTGCTTTAAAACAAATTGAATTTTTGTATCTGATTCTTTCATTTTCCCTAAGAACAATAGGAAAGTTTCGAAAAATTAATATAATAAAACCCTAGAGAGTTAAACATTAAATCTCTTTCTTTAAATGAAAAGAAAAAAATCACAAATCACAAATTCATCATTCGAGATCCCAAAACATTTTCATTTTTCATTTAGTTTGGGAGAATTGCGGAAATAGCGTAAAATACATCAAAGAAAATAAAGTTTTCAACGTTAAATATCTTTGAATTCAATAACAAAAACAAAAAATTAATACTAGAGAAACAAAGATTTATCAAAATTGTAAAAGAGCTAAATTTTACTTTCAAACAACTTAAAATAAAACCAAACCTTGAAAAAAACTGTATTTTTTTTTTGAAATACCTAATGTTTAATAATCTCCAGTTTCCAGTTTTCTACTAGAACTTTTGTGCTGATTCGAGTTGTTGTAATTCACGATTCTCAAAATAACACGAGAGCAAATTGCATCACATATCTAACAAAAAGATAATGTTATCAAAACGCGTAGTAAATAAACCAAACAGTAAAATCTATGCCTCCCGAGCGGATATCTCAAATTAGTAAATTGGCGGTTTTCCCTTATCTCTTATCAAAACTTGTCGCATTTTTACAGGTTCATAAACAAATAATGAATCACTAACATCGGTCGTTCGTCTCAGAATCCCCTAATAAGTGACATTAACGACTTACTAAAGTGCTTCAAGAATAATTCTTCCGTTTAACAATCTCGTGTTACGAAATTCAAAGCGATTCGCCGCTAACCTCGTTAACATTTCACTTTCAGGTGCTTTTAGGCCCTCACAATGAATATCATGCGAAAGTTACGAGGTGGAGGCGGTGGCACCCCTTCCGCCTCCTCATCAGACATATCAGACGCCGCCCCCGGTTCGCCTCACACCCAATTGGGTCTGATGCATCTCAAAAAGCTCTTCTCGGAGTACACGCACCCGTCACATCCATTAACAGACCAAGAGCGGGATGATAAACTTTATAACATGCTCCCGCTTTTTTGCAAGGTGATTAAATCAAAGAATCAATATTTGGTAAATTCAGTGATTTAAGGTGTTCGGATCGAGTCCCACATGCGACATGAATGAGAAATTCTGGGATATCCTCGCGTTTTGCCACCAAGTGTCACTTCTCATGGTTTCGGAAATAAGAAAAAGGGCCTCGAATCAGAGCACGGAAGCGGCGAGTTGTGCCATTGCAAAATTTCTAGAAATTGAAAATTGCGAAGAGTCGAGCAATGGGTGGATGCTTCTGAGTACTCTGAATCTCCTAGCGGCGGGAGATGCGACTTTAGTTCAGGTTTTCTCTCACAAAATTGCTTTTTCGGAAAAAAAACACCCCAATTTTAGGTCATGTCTGAGGTTTCGGTTCCGTCAACTTTAGTGAAATGCCTGTATTTGTTTTTCGATTTGCCGGAAATGTCGGAGCAGGAAGCCAACAGTAAAGACTCCTCGAGTGATTTCACGCCACGAGAAAGGAGGATTTTGCTCCAGAAAATTTTTGTACAACTTTTAGTCCGTCTGTGCAGTCATCGAATCCCGGCCGAAGAACTGGCCCGGAAGGATGATCTGACTTTATTATTTTCCGCTATCACTTCATGGTGTCCCTCCCATAACGTCATGTGGAGGAAAAGTGCAGCCGAAGTCCTAATGACCCTCTCCCGGCATGGGCTTACACCCCCTGTTGTCGGCTACATCCACTGTAATTCCCACAATTTACGAAAACTTCTCTCTAACTTTACTAAATTTCAGCAAAAGGCTGCGTCGCTTTGTGTATAGAAAACATGAAAAGAGTACCTGAATTAGCACCACTAGAATTAGTCGAAATGTTTGTAACGGTTTTTTGTTTTTTGAAAGATTCCAGCGAAGTTTCCTCGACGCTCTTAGATGATTTTAGGCAAGCTCAAGGATATTTATTCTTGTCGGATTTTTTACTCAAGTAAGACTCGGGACATTTTTTTAAACCAAATTAAAATATTTTTCTAGATTAGAAAGTGAAAAGTCGAGTGAGGCACAAGAATCGATCCGAAATTTAGTTCTCATGGTGACCTCATTGTGCATGTGTGGTTATATTGAATTGAAACCATCTCAGGCCTCCACTGGTTCGTTATTTCAAATGCAAGGTTTTACTCTACCGCAGCCGTCAGGGCGCGGGACAAGTGTCCGAAACATTCAAGCATTTCACGTAAGTTTAAATTAAATTAAAAAATTAAATTAAAGAATAAAAAACAAAATCTGAGTCAAATTGGCAAATAATTAACATTACCTCTCACATTATTTGAAAAAAAAACGAAGAAGAAAACACCAGAGATTTATTCCCCTTATTTTTTCTAATTTCACTAAACTAAGGAAAAAACATCTTTTTAGAATAACTGTTTTTAATGTTGTAAATTTCTTTTTACCTATTTTAAGAGATTACAGTAAAATAAACCTTAAATAACATTAAATCTATTTTTCTTTAAATGAAAAGTTAAAGCAGAAAGGACCAACACTTTTTAAAAATTTTAATTATAAAGTTATTGTATAATTTACTAAATTACACAATAAAAATTAACTGATCACTTAAGAAAAAACAACTCATTAAACATGGAGACAAAAATTTATGACTTTTGAGTCAGAAATGACTTATTGAAATATTAATTCTTATTTACGTTGAGAGAACAATGAAGTACGTATTTCGTACCCAAAAATGTCTAGTTTTTTTCTTTGTATTTAAAAAAAAGTTTGAAAAAAAAAAACACTGCAAGAACACAATTTAAAACTTTTCATATATTTTTTAAATTGTCATTTTCGTTTCATGTTGAGAGAACAAAAATGGAGCAAAACAAGTGTAAATATTAGAGAAACACAGATTCAGCAGTTTTTATTCTGCTACTTAAATTATTAATGTTAAAATAATAATGAAAACAGAAAGAAATACAAGTCAAATGACTTGTGAATGAAAGAAATAGTGTTGCATGAAAAATGTTTTTCAGGTTTTACAGAGCACATTCCTGAAATCCAACTCGCCCCTCCTCTGCTGTACAATCCTCGACGCAATCTCAAGCATTTACCATTCGGACAACGCCAATTACTTCATCCTCGAAAACCAAAATACTCTAAGCCAATTCACCGAAAAAATCCACTACAAGTCTGAAGAAATCCAAAGCAAATTGTTCGAACTGATCGAATTCCTCGTATTCCAATTAAACTTTGTACCTTGCAAAGAACTAATCTCCATGTCAATTTTTCTTAAAACTCATAGTTTAAATCACGTAGACTGTAGTATATTATGTGTACAGACCCTGTTGAACATATTGAAACACAACGTTATATTTAAAGATGTTTATCGCGAAGTTGGCATGTTGGAAGTTTTCGTTACTTGTTTGAACCGTTATTTAAGTTTCCTCGAAGAGAAAAAATCCAAACCCGAGTTTAAAATACCCTCTGGTCAGGAAAAACTCGGAACTCTTGTAGTGGAAGCTCTGACACACCTCCTGGCTGGAAACCAGTCAAATGCTACGGTTTTACGCGAGTGTGGAGGAGCGAAATGCGTGCAAGAACTAGTCCAATATCCCGAATGTAGGTACTCGGCTTTAGGGATTATCAAAGAACTGGTTTTGACCACAGGAGGTGACGAAGACATGGCTCAACTCCTCACAACTCTCCATTCGGCTCCACGAACCGCACTTCAACTCAAAATCGATATTTTGGAAGCTTTGAAATTGTGTTTGAAAGAGTCGCATCGAACTCGGACTGTTTTTCGTAAAGTTAACGGGTTTGTTTATGTGACTAGTGTTTTGGTAGCACTGGAAGGGAAGCTGAAGCAGAAAGAAACAAATCCGGAGGTTTTGACACTCCTCCAATTGGTTTTTCATACGATTTCAACCGCTATGAGATTCGAACCGGCCAATGCAAAGTTTTTCTATCACGAAATTTGCAAAACTAGTCTTTGTGATACTCTTAGATTATTAGGTTGTTTCACCGACAAAGTCGATGCTATCAAAGAGTGTGATTTCGAAGCACCAAACAATGATTTACAAGACGTTTATCACAAGTTGTTTGTCGGATCTGTTACGAATCCAGAGTAAGTCAAATCAGTAAATACTGATTTATCGATTTTTCTCACAATTTTATTTCCAGATTGTCCGACTTGGTCGCCCCGGATCTCTCATACGCCACCATCGTCTATCGCCTCCTCTATGACTTGGCACTCGATCTCTTCGACAAACCTAACGTCATTCTTATGAAATCCCCCTCCTTGTCGCGACAAGCCTCCATCGAGCCACCCCCCAACTCCGGTAAACGCTCCATCAACTCCCTTAACCTCACTCCCCCCATCCCCGACCCGATCATAGTTCATCCGGGAGTAGTAGTCGCGATGCTACAACTCCTCCCATGTATCAACCTCTCCGATTCTGGCCTCACCCTCCAATTATACATTTCGGAAGTGATCAAATCTCTCGTCCGGAGTGAACGTAACCAACAACTCATGTGCGATAAAGAATTTGTCGGTTATTTGCTGTCAATCGGCTCAACCCCCATCCAAAATGAAAATCACCCCCTCCATGGCCCTCTCCAATACATGCTGGAACGTCTCGCCGCCCAAGCTTTGGAACCCACCGACTTACGGAATTTTCTCCGTTTGGGGAACCCCCTGTGTTGCTTGCCTTTGGAGAGTAAGGAGCAGGGAGGAGGGCCGGTACCGTTGACAAGAATCAAGACTTTGGTTTCGATGACCACTCCAAAGGATTTCCGGGCGCAGTCATCGTACACTCTTCCTCCCTTTGTGGAGTTTGATATGTCGGCGGAGGGGTTTGGGTGTTTGTACCTCCCGAGTATCGCTCCACAGTCCCCTGCAGCTCCGAGTGTTGTCTCGACTTTGGATAGTAGCGTTTTGGGGGGGATTGGGTCCGGGGATCGACTCTTTCCTCCCCAGACAGGACTGAGTTACTCCACTTGGATTTGTGTTGATAAGTTTTCTGATCCGAGGACTGACCCACATTGTGTCCGATTATTGACCCTAGTGAGGAACTTCAACGCGGCCCGGGAGGACCATTTGGTGTGCTTGTCAGTCGTTTTATCGGCGAGGGATAAGGCAATCATTGTGTCGACTCAGGAAACTCACATTCCGCACCGTAAGTCATCAAAAAACGTCGTAATTGTAGCATTAAATATCTCACAGATGTAGGTGATTGGGAGCCGGAAGGCTCCGGCGAGCATGGTGCGCGAGTCTGGTGCCCCGACATTCTCCAAGAAGGCCAATGGCATCACATTGTCGTAGTCCTAAACCGTGCTGTGTTGAAAAACTCCTCCTTTGCTCTTTATCTCGACGGCCAACAACTCCACGCGCAAAAAATGCACTACATATCGCAAAACCCAGGTGGTGGGAGTGCTAACCTCACGGTGGCCTCCTCAGTTTATGGTTTCATCGGAACTCCGCCTGCTTGGAGGAGATACTCCCGACTGTGTTGGAAGCAAGGCCCTTGCCACTTGTTCGAAGAGGTTTTAACCCCAGTTGTGGTCTCCCAAATGTTCCATTTAGGGCCCCACTATATGGGTTCTTTCCTCGCCCCCAATCTCAACACTTCAGAAACAATGCAGTTGGTGTCGGAGGAAAAAGTCGTTTTTGGACTTAACGCCAAAGCCGTTTCGCAACTCACCTTGAACAAGATCCGGAAAGTTTACAGTCGTACTGATAATAAATCGATTGCTAAACAATTAGGGATGTCGAGTCATGAAAGTGCTACTCCCATTCGGATTTTACACAATTCAGCTGGACATTTAGCTGGGTCTGCGAGGAGTTTAGGAGGCGTTGTGATAGGATATTTAGGAGTTAGAGTTTTTTGTCCGAGACCAGTTGCAACGACTGTAAGTTTAACTCACGAGTCACATACTTATTTTATTTCTTCGGTTTGTAGATCGATACTGTTGGTGGCTGCTCCGTTTTATTGGGGTTAATTGCGATGGCTCAAGACGTCGAAAGTTTGTATGCAGGTGTTAAAGCTCTAGTTTGCGTTGTTAAAAGTAATAAAGTAGCACAAGCGGAAATGGACCGGAAACGCGGCTATCAAACCTTAGCCATGTTGTTGAGACGTAAACGGATGCTCCTAAACTCGCATATTTTACACCTTGCGTTCAGTCTCGTGGGCACTGTGGACAGTGGGAGGGAGTCCTCAGCTATACCCAATCGGACGGCGTTTCAGGCAAGTCTGAATAACAGGTTGCCAGGCGTGGTAAAATTTCACCAGATCGTGATTGTCATGTTAGTCTGGTGATTTGGTGAAAACTCTTGTAAAAATTCTAATATCTGTTGATTTTTTGGAAATGAAAAAAACTGTTTTCCAAGCATCTTCCACGTTTTCAACCAGAAACTTAATTATTTCGTCAAATTCTTTCAAAAAAGTCAAAAAACCACCAAATTGGTTAAAAAAATTGTTCTGTTTGTTTTTTTACAAAGTTTTACTAGACAGGATCCAAGTACTCAATTTATTTTTGTCTTTTTCGAATACATTTTCAGTTAGAAACACAATTATTTCGCCAAATTTTGTTAAAAAAAAATCAAAAATTCAACAAAATCGACCAAAAACGACGTTATTTTTGCCCTTTTCAAGTTTTTAAGCACGTTTTTCCGATAAAAACAAAAAAATTCTGTAAATTTTGTTGAAGCAGGCTGAAAAATACAAAATTTATTCGAAATTGATTTTATTTTAGCTTGTTCGTTTTTGAACCAGAGGCTCATTTATTTTGCAAAATATCCAACACGCTTAAAAATCACAAAAACAATTGATATTGATGTTATTTTGTTTGTTTCACTCGATTTAACTGGTTTTTGAGCAAAATAAATTTAAAAAAAAATAAATAAAAAAAAATTATTGAAAACCACCAAATTGGTGAAATTGGTGAATTTAAATGCTTTTCAGGTAGAAACATAATTATTTTGCAAAATTTTGTCAAAAACAAGCCACAAATTCAACAAAATATCCCAAACAACGGCATTTTTTGTCTTTCTGAAAGATAAAAACACAAAAAGTTCTAAATATTGCATTGCAACAGGCTAAAAAATTACAAAATTAACTCAAAATTCATATCATTTTTTAGCCTATTCGCCCGACTTAGTTCGTTTTTGAATCAGAGATTCATTTATTTTGCAAAATCTTGTCCAAACACGCCTAAAAATCTCAAAAAGAATTGATTCTGATGTTATTTTGTTTGTCTCACTTGAGTTTGAGGAAAATAAGACAAAAATAAGCTGAGAAAACACAAAATTTTGTCGAAAATACACGTTTTTGTACTTAAAATAAACTCAGTAATCGAGAAATTAATCTAAAATTGTATTTTTCGAGCATTTTAGCACGTTTTTCAGCTAGAAAGGCAATTATTTCGCAAAATTTTGTTGAAAACAAGCCGAAAAATCACAGATTTTAAGAGTTTAAGCAGTTTTTTTAAGCTTGAAAACTGCGTTGTTTAGCGAGATTGCCATACAAATCGTAATCTTGTGAAAATTGACAAATTTTTCAACTCGCATCTGGTGAATTTTCTGGCAACAGTGACTAATAATTTGTTATTTATTTGAATGTAGGACCTCCTCTGCGACTTGGAAGTCTGGCATGAAGCCCCCGGCGAACTCCTCCGCTCCCACTTGGAGCACCTCTACGAACTCGCAGCTGAATCGAACGAAAAACGTAACAATACATGGATAATGCGCGACTTGCAACTCGTTGAAAAACTCCTCCATATAACTCCCGAAGTCAAACATAACGCCACGCGTCAAGTCCTCTTCTCCCTGCTTTCAGTCCTCTTAGGAGGTCAACCCCGCCAACCCGATTTGTTACTTTTCGGACAATTTATGGCAGCCACACTCCCTCAATCCTCAAACTTTAACGAAAAACCTCTGATTTTGCGTGAAGGTGACTCGGAGAAAGAGGGCGAAGGAGAGAATATTCTTCTGAGGAATCGGTGTTTGGGTCTGATACATTCCATGCTTTTCGCACAAAGAAACATCGTCGGGGAGGAAATCGCACGCACGTTGGGGTTTGACTGGATCCTGCTTTTCATGCAGCCGAATTTGCATGCGACGACTGTGGTTTGGGGGTTAAGGATTTTGGTGGTGATGTGCTCGAATCCCGGACTTATGAACCGGTAAAGAAGTTTCCTTTAGTACTTACCAATTGATTAATTCGTTTTTTTTATAGATTCCGCGATGGCAGCAGCAATGGCGGGTGGTTGCGCTACACAGAACAAGTCACTCACAACAAAATGGCGGTAGTTTTAGGGTGTCACATGAATAGTACTCAAGGGAGTGATACTAAATCGGAAGCCCTCCACATTCCCGGGTTTCAGTATTTGGGGTGGCTACTCCCCGCACATTTAGACGTACCAGAAATTTATTTCCTGCTAACTGCACTCATCATGGGGGTCCCGGTCAAGCTTCTACCAGTCGAGACAAAGTTCGATTTGGATGCAATTTGGACGTTTCTTTGGGGCAGTTCTATAAGCAATCAACCGGCAACTAGTGTGGCCCCCCGGATTTGTCTTTGTCCCGAAGCTGTCGTCGTTTTATTGACAATAGCGAGGGCAATGCTCCACACTAGTGAGTCGACTTTACCCGAATGGTTGCAAAACCACCCAATTTCGATTATCCAAGTTTTGTTCCAATTGTATCACAACATGCCCGATTTTATGCCCATTTTTATGTCATCGGAAGTGCTCGGGGCCCTGGCTGGGGTCCTATTTCCCCCACCTGTAGTCTCAAGTATGGATAGTGGGGATAGTAGCGGTGCTTCTACTCCCGCTTGTGACGAAACCGATGTCATTATCGTACCGAGAACCCCTGATGAGGATCCCCTAACCACGCATCCTGTCAGACAATTTATTATTGACTTTATTCGGGTTATTGTAGTCGATTCGTTAAGTTTATCTACGACAGGGAAAGTTTCACCGGTCATTGACCTGGTTTTAGATGCGTATCCTGTGAATTCCACCACGTCTCAACAAATTTGTTACCAGACCGAAATTTTGGCCACTCTGATGGACCATCTTTTAGCTGCGGATATGCTGGTGGGGGACCAAGCGGCAATTCCAGTGGTACCACTCGCCAATGCCCATATTCAACACGTGACACCCAACGTGTTTTACTTAACGGCGCGAATAGTCGACAAACTCTGGCAAGGTTCTTTAACTAAAGACCCTCACGAAGTCTTCGATTTTATAGTGAAATTAATCGGGCAAGCAAAACGCCGGACCGGCAATCTCTCGCTAGAATGTCTCTACCATTGCCTAAATCGCAGTATTTTGTTTCTCTTGTCCCGCCCTACTGACACTATAGCCGATCAAATGTCAGTATTAGAAGCCTTACACAAACTCACCACCAATCGTTTGATTGTTTTCGGAGCTGGCAATCACGAATTAGATTTCATTGGGTGCCTTACTTACTGCCTTCTCCAATTAACAGCCGACATGAAAATCATGTTGGAGTCAAATATGAGGACAACATGGCACGTCAATCCTAGCAGTGAACTTGAGTCTCGAGATGAGCAATTAAATGCCCATCAAGGGCGGAATTTAATGGCCGGAGCGGCATTACGCGTGTGGGAAGAACTCTACGTTTGTAAAAAACCAGCAATTGAAGAAGTTTTTAAAGTCACGCTAGCGTCCCCAAATCCGAATGCCAAAGCACCCGATTTGACGATAGTCCGAGAGCAAGTTTTCGACGCCGCCTCAAAACTATGGCTAAACTATGTGGATGCTGAACGTAAAGCGACCTATCGAGTCCCGTGGGAGTTACACAACCAAATCCAATCGAAAATTCATAAAGTCACTGGAGGTTTAACACGATTAGCTAGCAGAACAAAAGTCCGAAAAGACGACACCATGAGAATCAAGATCAGGATGAGCAAAAAACAAGCCTTGCAATGGATGATGAACCATGTGAACATTCTCCGGGAATTCGTCGAAATGCGTCGCCAACAACACCAAAACACCACTCAACACACCCAAAGGTATGTCCACCAAGAATGGCTCCAAACCGAGAACGAATTGACAAGGGAACGGGGACTTTGGGGCCCTCCGGAGCCTTGCCACCTCGATAAATGGATGTTGGATATGACTGAAGGGCCCCACAGGATGCGGAAAAAGACAATGAGGAATGATCTCTTCTACTTGCATTACCCCTACCGTCCTGAACACGAAAAAGGGCCACTCAAGTATAAAGTCGCAACAAGTCATCATAGCAAAATCTACTATCAAGCGGTTCAAACCCGACAAAGAACCGGAGTTACCGGTTTAACCGAACCGGAACGGGCCGATAGCATCGTGGATGAACCTTCACCGCTACCCTTGACCCCACTTCCGCCCCTCGCAAGGCTTAAATCTGATCCGGATGACCAACAGGAGGAGAACGATATCGAGGAGGAACCCTCAGCCCCCCCAGATAACCAAACTTTGATGAGGCTTCTAGAAGAGAACGAAAAGATTTCGCACATGTTTCGTTGTGCCCGAATTCAAGGGTTGGATACAACCGAAGGGTTATTACTATTCGGGCAGGAGCACTGTTACGTCGTTGATGGTTTCACTCTATTGAAAAACCGTGAAATTCGGGATATTGAAAGTGTGCCAACTAATGCGCACGAATACGAACCAATTTTACCCAATCCGGGGTCGCCAAGAAGGTCACGTGCTATGCGACAGTGTTCCAAATTCTCCTACGAAGATATAAGGTAAATCCTCAAATGATATATCCTAGTGTATAAAAAAAATTGTTACATGAAGAAATTTAAAGCACTAATCTTGAAACTTGTATATTGTTTAGTGCTTCAAAGTGCTTTGGGTCAGTGATGGCAAAACGTTTATAAAAAAGTCACATTTTTTTCTAAAAACAGTTTCAGCGAAAACTTGAAGCACTGGGATTTATTTAAAGCATTGTTAATGCTTTAAAGTGCTTCACGTCGCAGTGTCAGCGGATTATTAATAAAAAAGTTATACATATTTGTTTCCAATTTGTTGAGAGTGTTAACGAAACCCTAATAAGTACTCGTACCATACAAGTTTCAAAATTAGTGCTTCAAATGTGACAACAACACTGTGAAGCACTAACTATGACAAGAATACAGTTAGTGCTTGTGCATGTGCGCTAACTTTTGTAATGTTTCGGATGAACAGAGAGGTTCATAAGCGACGGTACCTCCTGCAACCCATGGCCCTGGAGGTGTTTTCCGGGGACGGCCGGAATTACCTCCTGGCTTTTCCTCGGAAGGTCCGGAATAAGGTCTATCAGCGTTTCATGGCCATGGCGACCGGTATAGCCGATAGTGCTCAACAATCGGTCGCAGGTCAACGCCGGACAGCCAATGTCGAACAAGCAACTAGTCTTTTAAGCAATTTGATTGGCGAGACGAGTGTGACCCAACGATGGGTCGTAAGTCACCCTTTTAGTGTCTCCAGTGTCTCAATTTTGTTTTTCAGAGAGGCGAAATCTCAAATTTCCAGTATTTGATGTATTTGAACACTTTAGCCGGCCGTTCGTATAACGACTTGATGCAGTATCCGGTTTTCCCGTGGATTTTAGCCGATTATGATTCGGAAGAGCTCGATTTAACCGATCCGATGACTTTTCGGGATTTCACCAAACCGATGGGGGCCCAAAGCCCCGAACGCTTGGAGCAGTTTCGGAAACGTTTCAAGGAATGGGATGACCCACACGGAGAAACCCCTCCATACCACTATGGAACACATTATTCTAGTGCGATGATCGTGTGTTCGTATTTGGTCCGAAGTGAACCTTTCACTCAACATTTCCTACGATTACAAGGGGGACATTTTGATTTAGCCGATCGTATGTTTCATTCCGTCAAAGAGGCGTGGTTATCAGCCTCAAAACACAATATGGCTGATGTGAAAGAATTGATCCCTGAATTTTTCTACCTACCCGAGTTTTTGGAAAATTTGAATCAATTTGATTTAGGAGCGAAACAAAGTGGGGTTGCTTTGGGTGATGTGGTGTTACCACCTTGGGCTAAACAAGACCCAAGAGAGTTTATAAGGGTGCATAGGATGGCCCTGGAATGCGATTACGTCTCACAGAATCTCCACCACTGGATTGATCTCATTTTTGGATACAAACAACAAGGACAACCGGCCATTGATTCAGTTAATGTCTTCCACCATTTGTTCTACGAGGGAAATGTAGATATTTACAAGTAAGACGAGTTGTTTTAAAAAATGTATTTGTAATAATAATTTTTATTTTAGTATCGATGATCCACTGAAAAAGAACGCAACCATCGGTTTTATTAACAATTTTGGGCAAATTCCCAAACAATTATTCAAGAAACCACATCCTTGTAAAAAAATGGGTGGTGGTAATAATCGGACGTCGGTGATTGATACTGGGTCTTTAGTCCAAGCGTTCACTTTACCTCAACCTGAGAAACTTTTTTTCCACCATTTGGACAATCTAAGACCCTCTTTACAGCCAATCAAAGGTAAAGACGTAAGAGCGAGCTAAAGCGAAATTCGGTTTAAGGAAAAATGCAATATTTTACGTATTTCACTTTTCGTCTGTTATACAATTCACATAACCGGGAAATTGTACGCTGAAATGATTTTCAAAATTTTGACCGTTTAGAATGGCGACAACATAGAAATAATTATTTCTCTGGAAGGTATTATAAAGGAAATTTTTTTTATCTATTTTATTGCCTCCTTTCACCTCTTTCTCTTACTTTCACACGTTTCTAAACTTTCTGTTTCTACAAATTGTTAACAGCGCCGAATTTAATATAAAATCGTTGTATGTTTTTAGTTTTGCTAGTTGCATACACATCTACTGCCGTAATAATTTTGTAAATTCTTAGATGTTTCAAACAATATAATTAAATGAACAAAAAAATTTGAATAATTATTGACAATAAGTAAAAATAAAAGAAATTGTTCTAAAACAATTTGATCAGTCCATAATATTTTAAAAAGAAGTTTTTTATTACAAATTGATAATTACTTGCAATATTTAATTAATTGCACATTGTTCATTTCCGGAACTTGTAAAGTACGTAGACAAATAAATTTATAAAATTACCTAAAAAAAATTACATGAGCGGCAAAATTATGGAATCTTGACAGAAATGCACGAAAGGGTCAATTTTCTTTTTAAAAAATACAAAATTCTCAATTGCCATTTCGACTATTAAAGGATCTATCGAATTGGTTAAAAAAATTAGCAGTTTCCATTTAAACAAATGTCGATGACGTCATTACTCAAAAAACCAAAAAGTGTAAAAATTTAAATCAAGTTGGAAATTGTGTAGTATTTTTTTTAAAGAAAATTGTCCTGTACGAGCATTTTTGCGAAAACAGAATATTTTCAGCGTTAATAAGATTGTTCCCTAATTTTGCTACTTACTGTATAATGATTATTATTATTTTATTTTCTGGTTCTTTACCAATGTATATACATACTGTTTTATTGTTACAAAATAAATATCCCTCATATTTAGGATGACATTATTTGAAAAAAAAAAAAACAGAACATTTATCAAATAGAAAATATAAAAGAAAAGAGAATATTGATCAGGGAAAAAGGGAGATGATTAAATTCCTCGCAGGCATTTTTTGATAAAAAATTAGAATAGTCCCAAAACTCTTAGGCTGCTGTCATAATGTATAGTGTATGGAAATGATTTGATAATAAAAAAAAAACCTTGGAAAAAAACTCGTTTATTTCAAAAAACAACTCGAAAAAGATTAAATAAAACACATTACCTAATTAGTTCAGAAAACCTATTTGAGGGATCGAATGCAAAAAAAACTATGAAATAAAAGTCAATAAGTAAATAAAAATGTAACAGAAACATAATAAACAAAAATTCGATTCAATTTGAATACTTTTGGGAGGAACATTTTTTTTTCAGTGATTTTATTAGACAACAGTTTATTGTAAAATTTTTGGCAATTTTTGTGAAAAAAAAGGAAAGTTCGGAAAAAATGTAGTCAATTTTCCACTTTAGCTCGCTGTTAATATGCCCGACCCTACGAAATGTCTACATTTCCAGAAGTGAAAAGTCCAGTGGGTCAAATCCTCCATGTCGACAAAACAGTCCTCGCCGTGGAACAAAACAAGGTTCTAATCCCGACTTTATACAACAAATACGTGGCTTGGGGCTTCGCTGACCACTCCCTTCGAATCGGGAATTACGACAGCGATAAAGCCGTCTTCGTATCCGAAAGTGTCGTCCAAAACAACGGCGAAATCCTCGCATGTGTTTGCCCCTCTCCCAAACTGATCGTCACAGCAGGGACCAGTTCGGTGGTAACAATCTGGGAATTCGAATCCCGCAAAAAATCCCTCAACATTAAACACAACCTTTATGCCCACACGGACGCAGTGACATGTCTCGCGGCAAGTCCCGCTTATAACGTGATCGTCTCGGGATCCCGGGACTGCACTGCGATCATCTGGGATTTATCCCGAGGGATTTTCGTGCGGCAACTGCGAGGCCACGCTGGGCCCATCGCCGCCGTCGCCGTGAATGACCTCACGGGGGATATCGCCACGTGTGCAGCTACGTGGTTGCACGTGTGGAGCATAAACGGGGACGAGTTGGCCAATGTCAACACGTGTGTAGGGAGGGCCGATCGCATGCAACAGATTTTGTGTGTGGCTTTCTCGCAGACCCACGAATGGGATTCGTTGAATGTCGTAATGACGGGGTCGACGGATGGGGTCACAAGAGTGAGTAGATAACTGCTTTACCGGCATTTTTGTAATTTTTTAAAGATGTGGTCGATTGAGTACGTACAAGTGCCCGACGAGACAAACACCAATGTGGAACCAAAGCACCAGAGTCCGGCCAAGCCGACTCCGATTCACCATCGTCTAGTCAAACAGATCAATGTTTCAAATGATAGCTCTCTGAGTTTGATGAAATCGGGGTCCGAGAGTAGCTTATCCGAAGACAATAACCCGAGGAGACCTTCGATCGATCGGCAAGCGAGTTCAAAGGAGTGGAGGAGTGAGCAACAAAACGAAAAGGAGACGTGTAGCGACACTGAGGAGGCTTCTCCTCCCATTCCTGTGCGGAGGAGACGGTCAAGGGTGCATGGAGGGTTCAGGAAGAGTGAAGGTTAGCTGGTTTTGGGTTAATTTTCATACTGATTTATCAAATTTCAGGTGGTAACAGTGCTGATAGTGCTAGTCTTGACGTCGATGATGGCACCAATATGAGAACTAGCAAGTCTGACACGAGCCTGACCGATTCCTTTGTGATGGTACCAGAGACTAAGAAACGGACCGTGAACCCTATGAACGTCCTCAGGCCAGGTAACTAACCGTGTTGCCAGCTCAAAACAATTAAATTCGCCAGATCTGAGCAGAAAAGTTACCAGATTTACACCTTTTTCACCAGATTACACTTAAATTTTTATAATAATGTCGAAGATTCATGTTTTTTTCACAAACCTGCTCAAAAACGTGCTTAAACGCCCGAAAAATGCAAAAATAGGTAACGCTATTTTATTTAGTCTAATTCTACATTTTTTGGCTAGTTTTTTATTCAATGTTGCGAAATACCGGATAACAAAAAATCTCTTGGTGACACTGAATTAGTGGTAATGCTTCTAAATTTGTTATATCAGAATGTTTCAGGTGACAGCTAAAGCAATCGCCCGTCGCAATGGCAATTGCCTATAAAAGTTTGACGTTTGAATTTGAAAGTCAAGGTTGCCAAATTAAATTTTAAATTTGACCTTAAATCATTTACTTGAAAAACATGCTAAACACTTGATAAAGCCAAAAATTATGACGTAATTTAATTTTTTTTTATTTGTTTTGGCAAATTCTTGACATTAACACTATTTTCGACCATACTTTGTATTTTTCGTCCTATTTTTTTGACAAAGTTTTACTCAAAAAACTAATGAAACAAACGAAATAACATCAATTTAAATTTATTTTTGTTGTGTTTAAGCCTGTTTTGACAATATCCTGCAAAATAAATGAGTCTCTGGTTCAAAAATGAACTAAATCAAGCGAGATACGCTAAAATGATATCAATTTCAATCTAATTTGATACTTTTTCAGTCAGTTTTAACAAAAATTTGAATGTATTTTAGAAACGTGCTGAAACACTCTAAAAATACAAAAATAATACTAGTTTTGGCTTAATTTGATAAATTTTCGGTTTATTTTTAGCGAAATTTTGCAAAATAGTCCTATTTTCGGCTAAAAACATACTAAAACGCTCAGAAATGGACAAAATAATGTACTATTTAACCCATTTTAGGAATCTTTTTACCTTTTTGAGTGAAATCATTTAGAAAAACAAAACTATCTCTCTTTGTTAACTTGTTTTCGAGAAAATTTCGCATTTGTGTTTCTGCATGGCTAAAAAACGTGCAAAATGCTCAAACAAATACAAAAAAAACTAGTGTTATCATTTTTTACTGAATTTAATTAAAAGTTAATTTTACTAATATTTGGGCGAATACTCGATTTAAAAAAAATTATGTCAAAATACATTAATTTTCTGCTGGAACTACAGTCACGTTTCTAAAAAATCATCAGAAATTAGAATTTTTTTTATGTACAAAAGTTTTCACCAAATCATTAAACTAGTACAAAAATCACCAGACGTGGCAACAGTGGTAACTATATTAATACTTTTTTTCATCTTTAATTTCTTCTCTTAGGGTTCAAGTGGCAGCGCCAGTTGGTTTTCAGAAGCAAACTAACCATGCACACCGCCTACGACCGCAAAGACAACGCCGAGCCCGCCTCCATCACAGCCCTGGCAGTCTCTAAGTACATTTTCTTCAATAAAATTTTCATAAAATTAACACTTTGTTCCAGGGATCACCGCAGCGTCTACGTGGGAGACACCCGTGGCAGGGTGTTCTCCTGGAGCGTTTGCGACGTTCCAGGTCGAGCGGCTGACCACTGGCTCAAAGACGAAGGAGCCGATTTTTGCGCTTCTTGCAATATCAGATTCACAATCTACGAAAGGAAACACCATTGTCGCAATTGCGGTCAAGTGTTTTGCTCGAAATGCAGCCGATTCGAGAGCGAAATCTCACGATTACGTATTCTGAAACCGGTCAGGGTATGTCAGACGTGTTACGCCACTCTCAAGTCAGAAAAATAAATATGTTAGTTATAGATTACCAAAATAGTAAACAAAAATTATTTATTATGATATTGGGTGTGATTTTATTACTGTTTTTATTTATGATATATTTAACGGTTTTTAACACGTGTTTTATTGTTTTTTATATTATTTTTAATACATAAATGTTTACATCAGGTTTCTGTTATGATGTTTTTGTGATATTTATATTGTAGTATTTTTATGTATATAAGTGTTTTGCTTAGCTAAAGTATTATTTTAAAGCAAAGCAATATGTATTTAGAACAATAATATCTGTTGCCTGGTATACAGTAAATGTTGATTTTATGGAATTTGTGTACAATAATGTGTAAGATAGTATTAGTGCAATTCCGTGCGAAAAAAGATGAATTTCATTATGATTGATATTATTTTTGTATTCAACAATGGACCGAATTTGTTAGACTGTAGGTAAAAAGGTAAAAAAGGTGTGCACTAGCATCTGTAGACAATATACAAGTGCACTATTGTGCATTCCAAAGTATATTTCCTTATATTTGATAAATGTATGTGATATTATAGATTCTATAGGGTTAGCAAATTGTAAATATGCCATGTCTTGATTATATAATAAAGTAACTTGCAAAATACACGATTTTTCCTTTGCTTCAACTTTTTAAGCTTACATTTGGTTGAAAGCATAAAGTAGAAAACGAGGTGAGTCGATTAAAAGTATATTTTTCCCATATCTCAAAAACTAGTAATCACAAAATTCAGCCTTTGCTATTAAATACTTATTTTTTTTTCTACGTTTGTGATTTTTTTCAGAATTTTTCTTATAATTTTAAAATTCCTTATAATTAAAATTAATTAATTAGTGCTTTTTGAAGGATATTAGGTCTTTTTCGGTTGATTACTTTTGGGAAAACAGCTAAATTTTTAGAATTCTTCATTGTTTTTGAGGCAGCATATCTCCTGGTCCAGAAGTAACATTTTACATCCTGTGGACTTCGAAACTTTTTTAATTAATTACCTTTAATTAATTTAAATATAAGAATTGGTAAAAAAAATCTGAAAAAAACGCTGATCTCTGAGCGATTCACGCTGTATACAATAAATGGTCGCTAGCTTATAAGTCTATGGTTCGGTTTAAGTATGTATGGTCAAAACAGCTGAATTTTCGAAATCGTATATTTTCGTCAATATTGCGAAAAAATACATATTCATAGAAAATCTTAAATAGTTGATTACAAAAATTACAAATCATCAAGATCGACTGCATCAATCTGTGGGGTAATCTCGGCGACTGTGACAGGCTTAGGTTTCTCCCCACTTATCCTAGGTATATCCAATTTGGACCAACTTCCAGGTTCTGCTTTTTTCAACTTAATTTCGACTTTCGTCCCATACATAGAAACCTGACTGGCTTCCACATCAACAATCTGAAACAAACCCCAGTCAAACAAGCCTAAAAAAATATCCTGACAAATCTCACCCCTCGGAGTTCGATATCCAAATTGAAAACGGCATTGTTTTGTTGAGGAAACACCAAATTCGCGTAAAGTCTAATCGGATTTAATTTAATTTCGCTCTTTTTAACACAATATTGTTTCGCGTAAATCGAGACGACGACGTGAGTGGCAGTTTGATGGTAGTCCCAGCGACATTGGACGGTTGTGTTGTCCGTATTCTGGTAAGTCGTTTTACAGCCCTAGTGTGAAAGTACGCTTACCGCACTTACCTCCTTGAGCCACAAATGTTGGCCGGTTTGGCAGCCTACTTGGTTCAAAAAAGCGTTAAAATCAGTGGTGCGTTTCTGGCAACAGGACCAGAACTTCATCCCCTCGTGGAAAATGGGGACGCCAGGGTGGAAAGTACAAGTGGTGGCGTTTGTTTCCGGGCCTTGATACGTCTGACCACAACCCCCATTTTTACAAGTAGTACCAACTGCAATTTCGTTGGATTTTTTCTCAGATGTGTTTGTATTTGTACTGTTTAAAACTTGCTGTTTCAAAGAAGGTGCAATTTCAGGTTCCATAATAGTCTGCAAAATTTGTTATAAAAATTTTGGAATTTATTTTTTAGAAAAATACCATTGGAGTATCAAATGGGGGTCGTTCCTTAGCAGTTGGCACGATGGGTTTGACTTCGATTACTTCGTTTATGTCTATTTCCTGCTTGACGGGCTTCTCGGGTTCGGGGGGCTTCACGTTTGAGTGTTTTGATTTCGTGCACCCTTTTATATTTAAAAATTCTGTAAAATCTGTACATTTTTTATTACAGCAGGACCAGCCCTTGTAAGCGTCGTGGAAAACAGGTTCCCCAGGGTGATGACAACAAGAATCTGTAAAATTTATTTTTAAATTCAGGTGCCGACATGACATAACCTCACCTTCTCTATTGTGACTTGGGTCGAATTTCTGACCGCAACCTTTGTTGTAACACTGTAACATGATGTCACCGTTTTCCATCTTGTAGCAAGAATTGTGATACTTGAATAGATGAAACTACAATCGAGGTAATTGTTCGTTTTTTTATTTTGTAAGACTTTCCAGAATTTTCATTCATTTGCAATGTTGTTAAGCCTGATGGGGCTTTCAACCAATCAAAACGAATCATTTATCTTTGTCTGGCTTGAAGAAATTAGATTGGGTATCTTTGTTGTTTGTTTTTTTTGACAAAAAGGGTACGTTCCGAAACACATTTCTTTAGAGCGCCACATTCAAATAAAATAAAACCAGAAAAAATTTAAAGTTTATTTGAGTTTAGATCCATAGATCTTAGAACCGACATAAAGACATCGCTCGAAATCATATTTGTGCCGATTTAAATAAACTCCAAACGCAATTTTCCCTTTAAAAGACTTAGACAGTGTTAACAAAGGCTCTTTTGATGTTGTTCCTGTCGTTTGATCAATGCAAATCATTTGGCATCTTGTACACACACCCCCAGCCTAAAATTTCCAATTAAAAATAACACAAATAAAACCGAAAAATCACCTCAAATTCAATATCGTTAAAAATAAACTCCTCAAACTCATTTTCCGTAAATTCTTTATTGAACTTGACAACAAAATTTGCTCGAAATCTTTGAATCGTCGTCCCCAACTCCTCAAAAAATTCCTCATCGCAGATTTGCCCCCTCAACCACTCGACACTGGCCTCGTTTATTAACAAAAATTGGGCTTTATTGACCAGCGACAACTGAATTTCATCATCTGGAAAAAATGTTATTTGCGAAATACTTGAGAAAATCGCTCACTTTTCGCGTCTTTTCTCGTGAAGATTTTCTCGTTCTCGTCGCACTGTTTCAACAAACGGACTCCCGGACATTCCAAAACTTCACTTAACCAATCAGAAACTTCATCCCCACAATCCCATCCTTCGATTTTATCTCCGCAAACTTTACTCTGACAGAGAGACGCGACATTTTGAGAATACGAAGAGACATTTATCGAGACGTGGAAACTCTTCCGACCTAGAAAATAATTAAGGAAAAAGTTTAAAAACATTGTTGACATACCTGGATACGTTAAGAACAACATTTCAGTTTCCAGATCGATGATTGGTCGAATGAGACACATTTTCTTGTTGTTTTTTTGCGTAATTGCAACTCCGGATGAGTTGATTATCATCCATTGGCGGTCAAATTTCAGACCTGTAGAGGTAAGTGGCCATTGCGACACTGAAAATCCTCCACAGGATTTAACAGGGTATAAAATAATTTGTTTTAAAACACCCTCTGAATTGTTACTTTCCAATTCTTCTTCTAAATATTTATAGTCATTGTCAGTTGGAATTAAATAATTATTACGGTTCTTGTGTGGAACTTTTTTAATCACTGGTTTGGTAACAAAGCAATTTTCAACCATTTCCAACAATTTATCTGCGTCGATTTTCCGGGACATGTAACCGAATGAGACTCGAATGGAACCAGTTGGGTTCCCATCCACCAAATCGTGTTGGTCCCCACACACGTGACCTGCCTAATTTCCACTTGTTTACGCATTAAAAATATTCGCACTTACCTCATAGTGTTTTTTGACATCTTCAGGACTCAAATTTAGAAAATATTGACAAGCACCAGGATTACAAAAACATCCAGTTCTCAAATGAATGTTATACAAGTTTGCAAAATGTAAAACTTCAGCATAACCGACATATTCGCCATTATCTCGTAAAATATTAAAATTTACAATTGGGCCTTGATCTTGAGGATTTTCAAACGTTGTGTTATGGTATAAAGTAACAGCAGGGTTGCCGTTTGAGTGGTGCAAACACAGTAGGTTTCTGTAGACGTATTGTGCCAAAGAAAAAGTGTGCTTTGAGATGGTTTCGAAGGGCAGATCTAGACGCCTGAGGGTGTTGAAACCCGCCTTTAGAGCGAGGATGGAGAGAAACGGAAGAGTGCCATCTTCAAACCTACAAAATTAATTTAATCACAGTTCAAACAAAAAATGATTTTGATTTTAATCACCTTTCATGTATCACATCCCTCATCACAACCTCATTCCTGACCGCCTGCGCCATAAAAACCGTCCCTCCTCCATAATACCTCTTCCTCAAAACCCCACAACTCTCATTCCGCACTAGAAGAGCCCCCAGACCGGTCGGATACCCAAAAATTTTACAAAACGAAATGGCCACAAAATCCGGTTTAGTTTCTGACAAATCCAAGACTTCTGTTGGGGCGAATGCGGCGGCATCCACTACCACGAACCATTCCCCCGGTCCTAAAGCCCCCTCTTTAACAGCCTTGATCCATGAAAGTGGGTACTTCACCCCTGAAAAGTTGCTTTGCGCGGGAAAAACAAACAGGGAGTTCCCCGATTTTGTGGTTTGGTTTTGCGATAACGATTCTGTGAATTTGATGCACTTGGTTTTGGGGGCGTAGACTCGCATTCCGAGGACAGAAGTGTGATTGTCTTGGAGGTAGACGAGACTGCCATCAGATCCGTATTTGAAATTTTCAGAAATGAGTTTAAGAGCCGCCGTTGCGCCTGATGTAAAAATGACAGAGTATTCGTCAGGAGTGGTTTTGAAGTGGGCTAAAAGTCTGGAATTTTGGCTAAAAATGGAATTTTTGACGTTTTTGAACTTACTGATAACGAACAATGTCTATAGCGTCTTCTGTTAGTTTACTGGAAAGGTTTTTCGCGTGTGGGTTTGCGTACAAGTTGGTACATAATTGGTGGGCAATTTCCTCGAGTTGTTTCTCTGAATATAAAGTAGCTCCAGCATGTTCTAAATAATATTGACCTGGAATTGTCATAACCCTACTTAGATCACTTCTCTTTGTTAAAATTTTTAATTTTACGTACCTGAAAGCCGCTCGAATTCACCTTGGATTGCTTTTCGCTGTTTTTCAGAATATATTTCACGAAATTTGCAAAAATTATCCATTCTTTTGTTTAAAACACTTGATGATTGTTTAATGATATTAAAAAGATTGAGATATTAGAAAGTGGAACCGATAACGGGATATTGAGGTTGTGAAATCATAAAAACTTGGTATTATTGGAAGATAAGACGTCACTATCTTACTTAAGTAATTAGCTGCACGCAAATACATGAAATAATTTGTTGCAATAACAATTTTAAAAATATTCCATTGTGTAGTTTATTATGCGTACATTATATCATTATAACATTATATTATGTGTATATTAATAACATCCATGGATGTTATTCAATAATACTTTAGTAGCGTGTCTACTAATAATTTAAGAGTAGCGAAATTAAAACTGCTTTATTTAAATGAGGATGACAAACAGAAAAATTACAGGGAAATAGAACATTAAATATGTACTTCACAATAAGAAATTTTCAAGAAACATTCTGCTAGATGTTGTGTTACAGATTATCCTACTGCTCTTAGAGTACATAATAAAAATAGACTAAAACAATTCTTAAATGTGATTTTTCATTAGCTACGAATGAAATGAAAGAATTAGCACAAAAAGCCTTTGATCAATGGCAGTCTGTTTCAAATTTAAAGTTTGAATATAATAGCATTAAACCAGACATATCTGCTTATTCCATTTTCTAACACGCTGTTTTGACATAATTATAATAGACGGTGTCAAAATTGAGTAGGTATGTTATTCTGGCAGTTTTGATAGAAAAGATAATGTTTTAGTACATGGTTTCTTTCCAAATAATGATAGATGTCAGAAATTCATGTTGCTAATTCAGAAAATTGGTATTTATAACAGTAGTTTAAATTTAGTTTTTTCTGATATTTTATCTTGCTGATCTGATACTGACTGACGATGCCGGTAACGAAAAGACTAGTGGAATAAAAAACAATTTATTCAATTCAGATAAGCCCTGTGAACATGAATGAAATTTGTTTCTTTAATTTTTTATTAATAAATTCTTTATTTTTTACAATAACATCGGTTTGCTTTTCTCTAAATTTTAAATCGATAAGGAATGAACCCAATTTATTAGCTGGTAGTAAAATAACTTAGGTACTTTCTTAATTTTTTACAATAACATCGGTTTGTTTTTTCTCTAAATTCTAAATCGATAAGGAATGAACCCAATTTACCTTAAAAAAACAGGAGAAAGTCTTTAAAAATGTTACTTTTTAAAAATTACCATTTAAAAAACACGACAAAATCTTTGAAAATGTTACTTTTAAAATATACGTTACTCTTGATAACATAATATACTATTAAAAAAATATTATAGGTAACTTAAATTATAATTAATATTGGCATTGATACATCTTTACTAAGGTTTTGTTGTTTTTGATATAATCAAAAGCTATCAAAAATTCTAATTTTCGGCGAGTATTTGGAAAAAATATTAGTAAAATGTTATAATTTCATAATAGTATATTATGTCACAAAGTAGAGAAGAGATTTTTTATAGTCGAGCTGTTTATTTACCGAGATGCGTAGCATCGAGAGAAATAACAAATCCGAGGCTTAAAAATCTTCTCTATATATCGTCTTTTATATACCTAACTTAAGTAGAAGAATTTTTTTATTCTTATCGTAAATGAGGTTATGCATCTATTAAAAGAATTTTTCTAACTTCATAATACGAAATATTTGTTAAAATAACAAAGAAACTGCGAACAAAAAGAAAAAAAGTGCCTTATTACCGATAGTATTTCAACATTAAATAAACCCATTTGTCGTTTTGACAGTTTTGGTATATGATTTTGATCTCGGTTTTGATATAATAGAGAGAAGAATTAGAGGTGGGGTTATTCTGATGTTTTTCATGACGTTTAGTCTTTTTTACTTGATTTTGTATTAATTTTATCTCGAAGTACTTCCATTAGTACTTATAATGATGATAGTTTTAAATAATAATATTCAGACATATTTTTGTATCAATGAAATACCCTCTAATATCGATATTTATACACCTCTTATCCATTATTGCCCTTGGTTTGTAATGACAATGATTATTGACCACTAGGAGAGAAAAACATCACAACCTCTCGACAAAGTACCTTTTACAAATAGTAATGAAAAAAAAAATCATCTTAGAATAAGATCAAGGTAACTTATAATTAATCTCCAAAATTAACAATTATCTTAATTAAACTATTTCTTCAAATTCTTTCAACAATTGTAAAAAATATATCCTTTATTTTTGTTTGTTTTTCAATGATTTCATGTGCCAATAAATGTCCTGGTCCAGAAATAAAAAGTTATTTTGAGGTGTCAAAAAACAAGAAATTTTTTAAGGTTTTTGGGTGCCTTTGTAATTTGCTTGATTTTGGGTAATTAAAATTATTAGTCACTTTTTGTGTGTCCAATTTTTGTCGTGCAAAAAATAGATTTTTTTTAAGTATTCCAAGCTCTTTTTGGTGGTTCATATCCTTTTTTGGTTAATTTTTTATGTGTTAAATGTCCCGGTCTAGAAAAAAACATTTTTGATATCTCCTGGGAAAAAATCGTGGGTCACCTACATTCTAATGGTGGAAATTAGTGGTTCTATTGATAGCAATGTGCCTCAAGCACAGAGCAAACTTCGTTTGAAATTTGATACTTCAGTGATAACATCCCAAAATCCATAAATATAATTTAACTTTGTTCTCAGAGAGAGCTTTAATTGTGCCTAATTCTCTCAACTAGGCGAATAGTTACGGAAGTTGTTATATTGTGGCTTTTATATGTGCTATTAATTAGCCTGTAATTTTGTTTTAAACCGAGTTTTTGTTCAGCTCATCCAAAATAAATTGAACACATGTGTGTGGTCGTTCGAATTCGATTTCCTCGGCCTATTTCATTCTCTCGTAATGTCTGTGGTCGGCTACTAAAGCCCGAAGATAGTAAAAGTATACGTTTTATTTTTTTCTTTTGTTATTTGATCGCAAGGAAGTGGTTATCTCCATAAAAACTCGCATAAAGCTCTTGTAACTCTCTCAAACATAATGCCCGGATTAAACTCTGACTTGTGTAGTCATATTTCACAAAATACAACAGATATTGGGATTTTTATACGAGATTACGCCAACCACGTTTAATGAAGCACTAAACGGACGAACGCACAATTAATGCTCGGAATAATAATCATAATAACGTCAAATTTATTAAACGAGTGTGGTGTGTACTACAAAGGCAATTTTCATTAATCAAATTTCAATCAATTCAAAAAAATATTCTTTTTTTATCAAAATTGTTTAATTTCTGGGTATGCAATTTTTTTTTCTGGATTTCTTTTATATTCCAGAAGAACTCCATTTAACACCGATTCGGTTTTTGTGATAAGATCTAAATCTCCAAGCCGCACAATTTCCTTATGTAAATCTTGAAGCATTTAAATGCTTGCAGTACAGCGAAGTTTTTAAAAATGCAAATGGGTGTTTTGAGATCGATTAACGAAGCCTCGAATTAATAATTGCAGTGCAAATATGTCTGTAATTCCTGATCTTTATTTCTTAGAACTGCCGGTGATCTGATAAAATTTCCATTTTAAGTGGACCCCCGACTTGAAAGCTGGAATTCTTTCTTCTCATTATGCATTTAAATGAAAGTTTGCGAATATCGATCAATGCTTATTTATTTGGAAAGTTTTATTCGGTTTTGCTCTTATTTTCAGACAGCGTGAAGAGTTTTTCTGTTGTGGTGTCAACGGTGTGAATTACGGATTTTCCTGAAATCGATAATAGGTCATACGGAACTTTTTCCAGGATAAATTCATGCATCTGGGACACGGACATTTTAACGTTTATATTTCTCATTCTGTCAAGCTTTTGCATTTTTGTACAAATTGGCGGAGACGCAATAACAGAGTTGCGCTTTTACAAAAGACTCGAACGAGAACATGTTTGGGAGCTGTAACAAAGGATATTCAAATATTTCCATTACCCCACATTACAAAACATTAAACATTGTATTAAGATAAAAAAAATTTTTTTCGTATTTTGATTATGTTTTATGTAATGTTTTAATGAGTTACAAGTGAACCTATCTCTGATTCTAATAATTACATTCACTGTCTTCTTTATACGTATCTGAAAAGCTTTCATCTTTCACTGGAATGGAAATATCAAATGTCTGTTGGTATGAACAGCAGAGTGGCTCTTATTTCTCTATTCAATAGGCTTTTCAAACTTTAGAAATCCTGAAATGTATTTTATCAATGATTTCATTTCTACTGCGCCATCACAAGTGAGAGATAGAAAATGTCGGAAAATTATCGTTTTTAAAAGTGATTTTTTTTATTTTACATAAAAATTTCGAAATTTTTTGCAAAAAAAAACTTAAATAAAATCTGTAAAATTATTATTTTTGTGGGGTAAAGTTTTTTTCACCTTGATATGATGAATTAATTATTTTCACAGTTTGTAATAAATAAGGCTTTAAATTTGTACAAAAAAGCTCTCGGTGAGCCACCTCCTGCAAAGGACATTCCTTGAACTTTCTGTGATAGACGATCCTCGAATCAAATAATAAATTCCTTATAAAGACGTATTTTCCGGGCCGCTGGTCTTGTGTCACGCGTAATATAACTCGCCACCCTGCCATTGAAGCAGCCCATCTTCTCGTGCATTTTTATTTACAAATGAATGTCAAATAAGCTTTAAAATCGACTTGTCAACAAGCCCGGCCTGTTTTATTTCGGGATTCCGTTGTTTACTGGAGTAATAAACATATTTTAGGTCGACGCTTTTTCTCGTCGAGGCTTTGAGGGAATATTTATGTTTCACCTCATCAACCCACCGCCACTCTTAATATCTTTTATAAATTGTGGCGTTGTTTCGCGAGGATTACTCGACAAACAGACAAGTGTTTGTCAGGATTCAAACAAACGGCTTGAGTGTGTATGTATGTACAAACACAAGACCGAAGTTTGTGCTGGAAAAAGCTCATGACTTTAAGTTGGCATTGTGAAAACTGTAAAAGTTTCAAAACTAACGAAGCTTTCATGACAACAAAAACCGGTTATTGGATATGAAGAAATCTTCCTGTTAAGTGGTTGAGTCGAAAACATTTTTTTTTAATTGA